ATTCTGCACATCTGCAGAATTTTAACATGCCCACCCCCTTTTGCTTGCTCAGTTTGGAGTAGGCATAATTTATTTGAAGTGAGCAGGATGGTATTTCAGCTATAAAAGGATAGTGTCTGGCTGTACATGTGTGTCCTTGTGAGGTCCTGGGTAGAACCTGTTGTGTGAGATAAGCTGCCATCCTCCTACCTGGCTGAACAAGACCTGCTTACTCCAGAATTTTTATAGATCTTAGTCTAGAATCTTCAGAGCTTAATTCTCTGTATGAATGCTGGGAAGAGGATTTCAAGATCCTTGAGAATAAGAACAATGAAAATACTGGCTCTGCGATTGTTTCCTGGCTGCTTAAACCTTACTCAAATGGATCTATAGCCAGAACAGCTGATTAAAGGTCAGCTTAGTGGGAAATGTGAATGAAGGACTATTAGGTTTCTTTGCAGGTTACTCAGGTTATGCTTCTGTCATGTCAGAGGCTGGGGTGCCTGACCTCTGCCTCCTCTTTTGATTTCACCTTTCCTGGGAGTTTCCCTGACAATGAGACCAGGATTAAATCACATTGAGGGAGTTGTCTCATTAAGCTTTGGAAAGTGAGGAATCATCTTCCTGAGGCTCCTGCTGCTGCCCTTGACCAGAGCCCAAACCTGATGTGTCAGTGACATCAGAGGACTGTACTCCTGCCCTGCTTTCTCCCCTAGCTAGCTCCTAGGCCAATACAGAGCCCTGCCTTTGGCATCTAAGTGCAGCAACAGGCTGTTCTTTTCTTCCTGAGAAGCTGCTGATGCAGCTGGCTCTTGGTGTGCTGCGGACATCCATACCTTCCTGAAGCAGCTGTCTCCCCAAAATGCTGGGCAGGGCTCTTGGCTCAGGCCCCTCCTGCACAGACACCTCCATAGCTATGTGCAGAATGGCTCTGTTTGTCTGGGCAAGCGTGTGTAGGTGGGTGTGTCCCTCCAGTTCTCCTTCCAGTGGCTCCTGGTTTATTTTGGGACTGATGTGGGTGTAAAGTGTCAGCTTGAAGCAAAACACTCAGCGTGGACGTTGAAAGCACCGGGCTAGGAGGCTGCTTGCTGTCCTGAAATGCTGAAATAACTTGGATGAGGTGAAACTGTCCAGTGGCCAAACGGAAACCAATTCCTTCCTTATAGCCATCGGCTGATTGAGGTTTTCAGACCCCAGAGGAAGGTGCTCCTGGCATGAAACACTTTCTCTAGGAACAGTTCTTCACAGCTCTTAACCTGGACAAAGGGTGTCTGTGTACTACAGTCTTCCTGCCCCAGCTCCCATCTTGTACTTGGAGTCCCCTATAACTTTGGATGCATCCTGTTATTATTCTCTACTTCTGTGGGGTTTAATTAAAATGCAGGTCTTTAATTTTTAATTTTTCCTTCCTGTTGATTCGACTGTCTCTGCTTGAACGAGGTCTCAGTGCAATTACTGTGCTCCCTGTGGAGAAACAGACATTTAATTCAGCAAAGCAGACTTTTTCTTGGAGGGGGTTTATTTTCCTGATCTTCCTACTCAGAGGGATGCAAAAGCAAAACATCCAGTGAGCAAAGAATGTGACACTTTATTTGGTTGTTCTGGACACGTTTGCTGCATCTCAGTTACCAAAATATTACGTTCCTTGCAGAGAGCTGCCTCCTTACGTAAAGGGCTTGTGATGAAGCTACTCAGCACAACTTGCATTAGCAAGGGGAATTGAAATCCTTGGGTCAGGTTGAGGTTTCTCCTCAAAATTCTGTTCTTGCAGCAGTGATGTAAAAATACAGAGTTTTATTGTAGCATTAGCTGTTTCATGATTTGTTGACCTGAGAAGAGGACCAGGCAAGTACCTGGTGGCTGCTTGCTGTGGGGGCACGTCCGTGGCCAGAGGAGACAGAGGCTCCTGCTGCTGTTTGGGACCCAGCTGAGCTCCTGGCAGGGAGATCAACTATGAACCTTTAATAAAGGGTGGAAATACTGGCTGTCAGATTCCCATTGTCCTTATTTAAGTCTGCTTCAGCTAACTTAGTGCTTTTGCTAGCTGAACTCTCCTTGAGCAACTGTAGGTCACTACTGAAACATGCAAAGACAGGATTTCTCTGCACCTCCTGAATTGCAGTCCCAGGCTTTCAAAATACTTCAGGTTCTTTCAGCTCCGGACCTGAGGCTTCCTTGTGTGTGCTAGGTTATTTTCTGTATGTTCACAGAGATCATATCTATATGTATCCAAATGTAGCCTTGTTCTTTCTCCATGTCTTTCCAGCTCCAGCCGTGTCTGTTCTGTTTGACATACCAGTGTTTAACCTAACAGGCTTGTTGATAGAAGTGGCTGGTGAGGCTGAGCCCTGTTTTGACCCCTGAGGCTTGCTGGGAGCACAGTAAAACCGTGGTGAAAGATAAGTGCACTGTTATCAGAGGCAGTTCTGGCTCACAGATCCTTGCTGTACCTGTGAGTAGTTTGGGATCCTCATGCTGGTGGCGGGGACACACTTGGCATGTGCCTTTTCCTTGTGATTTGAGTAAGGTATGGCCCCTTTCTGCCACATGTTCTGAAGATTGCTTTGATTTGTAGGCTGCCAACTTACACTGAAAGCGTGTGTTGAGGGTAAGATTTGACGGGATTTAAACTGATTTTTATCCATCCCCCACACACCCTGCCCCCCGCCGATGGAGAGGATAAACATTCCATTGTTTTTTGTGTGAAGTGCCTTTTAGTACCAGCAGCCCAGCAATGGGGGATGAAGAAAGCAGATGTGTCCCATGTCTTTTTAAACTGCTTTTGTTTTTCTGATCACTGTAAAGGAGGCTTTTAATTTTTTAATTTTTTTTTCCCCAAGCAGCAAGTGCTCCACAGGGTTTGATCAAAGCTCATAAATGATGAATTGAAGGAATGCCCGGCGGAGAACAGAACGCCCTCCTTGTGCTCTGCTCTGTGTGCTGAGAACACCATTGTTTCTTCCCGTACCTTTTCCATCCTCGGGCTCGGGGCTGGAGAGAAAAGGCCTTTGTTCCTTGCCTGTCAGCTGAGACAATGCCAGTGTGTTGTCCTACCTCTGCTCTCAGCACCTGACTGGCCCGAGCTCTGTGGCTTTTGGCAAGCTGAGCACAATTGTCCTCCAGCTACAGCGTTACAAAGAAAACAAACAGCTTCACAGCCTCCTTCCTCCTGATCCTGGCCCACGTGTGTCTGTCTGTGCCTGCTGTTTCATTTGGGATGCAGAAGGAAAGCCAGCACCCTCTCCTGTTCTCCAGGTTGAGAGATGCTGCTTCACCTGACTCCCAGCGCACACAGAGGGACAGGAGGGGACAGAGGCCCAGGCAGTCCTGGTTTTTCTACCTCTTTGTAACTTCTGCAGCATCTCTGGTTGTGCTGTCTTGTGATGCAAAGCTCTGCAAAGGAGACAGCTTGTAGTCAGTCCTCTGTTTCTCTTGGCTTTTGGGGGGTTTAGCAGGAACAAGAGCTTTGCAAATGAAGAGGGAGAGCAGATGGCATGAGCTGGGGTGGAGAAGAGGCTGGCAGGGACATGTTTGGGGAGGTGCTGGAGTGCAGACCATGAGCCTGGCTCTTCCCTGCTGCTGGCCCTGTGTCAGAGACCAGAGTTCAGGCAGAGGCACGGGTGCTTCAGGATGAGACCAGCAGTACTTGCTTCAACACCTGCCCCCACTCCTGTTGGGAAGAGCCTTTAGCTGCATCTCTGCTGCTGTTTTGCACCCAGGCTGATCCTGTCTACCCTCAGGCATTGCAGCAAATCGGTGGAAAAAGTGGTGGAGGTGCAAGTCAGCCTTGCAGTGCTGCATTGTCAGGCACCTTGCACCAGTGTGAAATACTGTAGTTCAAGTGCAGGCTTGAAACTCAGTGGCACTTGTGCCAAAATCCAGCATCAGCTCCTCTTTCATTCCCATCTACTGCTGGACTTCACCCCTCCATGAAGGGCCCTGATGTTACACTTGATCTGGGAGAAAGAGCTCGGCAGTGGGTTTGAGAAGAGTAATGCTGATGCCTGCTAGCATTCCATGCCAGAGGCCAGAGATGCCCGTGCCATGGAGTAAGGACCTGACACAAAGGCAGTGCTGGCTCCTGGCCAGCGTGACAGATGATGTCTGGTCACTACAGCCTGCCCAGCAACTTTCTCTGGCCTCTGCTATCCTCAGACTGAGCTCTCTTGGCTTCAGGTTTATCTTTGCCTGAAGTTTGTTTATGGGTATGCCTTCTGAATTCCCCCAGCTGGTGGTAACTTCTGTGAAACTGTGACAACACCAATGTTCCTGTTACCCAGAGCCTGAACTCGGCTGCAGAGGCCGAATTCCATCTGCTCCCAAGCTCCCTGTGCTGGGAGGCAGAAGTGCAAACAGCTTTAACCAGAACAATGTAGAATTGCCTGGGTGAAGAATGTGGTTTACTTGCATATGTGTGGCATGTGAGCACCAGGGCCAGAGGGCACCACTCCAGTCCTCTCCTTTCTCTTTCCTTTTTTTCTCCCCGCCCTTGCCTGAGCCACTTGCTAGCACTTTTGTTTGGGGGTGAGGAGAAGAATGTGTGGGTTGACAAGAAGAGGTGGGAGCGAGATCTTTGGGAGCCAGGAGTCTGAAACTGAAAAAGCCAACAATCTAAGAAAGCCTTGTAGACAAGTTTAAAATTAGATTGACCCTATGCTTTCATATTGCTGGAATTTAACTCCTCTGACCCTGAAGCTTTTGGTCTGACTCAAAGCAAGGGTTCCCAGGCTGTGGTCAGTGGAGGCCAGTGCTGTCTGGGGCTCTCGTGTGGCCATGGATCTGTATCAGAGGCACATGCACCTCCTGTCCACCTCCTTGTATTTATGGAAGGTTGGAGAAGTTCAGTCTTGAGAAGCCAAGAAAGCCTCATATATTTCTGCTGTCTTTGTCTGTATCAGCATGGGGCTTGTGTCTGGAACCTGTTCTCCCTCCAGCTGGGATACTGCTGCATATGAAAGCTGATCAGAGCTTTTCCTTTTTCAGACGTGATTGTAACTGTTTCTCTTCTGTTCCGTTTGCAGGTTGTGCAGCTTGACGTTAAAGAAACTGGTAGTCTTAAAGGAATTGGATAAGGAGCTTATTTCCGGGGTCATTGCTGTCAAAATGCAGGTAATTACTGCCCAGTTCTACGAATTGTGATGTTTGACTAAGAACACTGGCAGGTGCCCAAACTGAGCTTTACCCCCACGTAAGGATCCACAGACTTCTTCAACTTCTGCAACTTCCATGTTGCATCCACAGACTTTTTCCCAAGTCCATCAGGGTGTTCTGGATCTGTGTAGTCTCTTTTCTTACCCTTCTCCCACATTCCAGACTCATTTCACTGTTATAAGCGAAGAATATTGTTCACCGATGGCTCCGCATAAGCTTATCTGTATGTAAAAATGCTTTTCACAGATCACATGTCCCCTTTTCTTCCTGAGCTGGCACTAAATCCGAGCCCACATCTCTATTTACTAGTCTGAGGCTGAATATCTTGGTAACTGGGTCTCAGTTTGGGGGAGTCTGGGCCTTCCTCTGCTGCTGGGCAGCTCTGCTATTGAGTCTGTAGCCAAGCTTGTCAGCGGGTTTGCAGGGTGCCTGTACAGACTAATTGCTTTTCCTAAAATACAGCTGTCATCCTAGGTAAATAACCCACTTCACAGCAGATGTTTGTGCCATTTAATTAGGTGCCTCCATGTAGGTCACTCTGCCTGGAGGGGGGAAGGAAGGGAGCTCGGTTCCACCGTGCGTCACAGCATCGGCTGGGCTCACGTGCTCGCATCTCTGCAAACCCTAAAGTGCTTAACCAGGAAAAGCCTAGCAGACCTGTAAGTAGAACATTAACTGGGCTGAAAAGCTGCTGCTTTTCAAATGAGGAGCTAGGCAAACCCCTGCAGAGAGCTCTGGTTGTGTCAAAGCACACAAATTCTAGTTTGGAAGGTAAAATCAGGAAGGAAAACCACATAGCTGAGGATTTAATTGGTATCTCTCATCTTTGAGTGGTCCAGCTGGGATAAAAATGCGCCCCTCTAAGTCGGAGGGGGTTTGTGCACCCACAGCAGAGAGCAGAGAGGCAGGGAATTGCTTCACACACCTGGATTTGTGGAACCTCAGAAGAAGCACTGCTGTGGGTTTCCAGGCTGTCAGATACTGCTTATCAAGTCTGAAAGCTTTCCATATGTTTGTACTCCTCGACGATGAATGCATCACTGTAAGCACCTGAGGCTTGTCAGAGACTGATCTATGCCCAGAGAGTGCCAGACTTGGCTTGAAGAATTCAGAAGCTTTTATTAGAGCAAGACCTTCTTTTCCTGTCCAGATTACTGCTGCTCACACTTCCTGTAGGTGAAAACTTGCCCCAAACCCACAGATCCAAAGGGAATTTTAACACGTGGGAATTTCAGGTCCCATTTTGTGTGTGTGGTGTGGTCTGCATTGCTGCGGGTTCAGACACTGGAACCTGAGCAGTCCTCTCCACACCAGGCCCTGCTATTAAAAATCCCTTCAGAGCTTGCAGGTTATGTTGCTGATGCTAACAGGCTTTTCCAGGGATGCTTTATTTGCCAGCACTCAGGTTTCTGACATGGCTGTTGTTTGAGGCTGGTGGTACTGGATCATCAAATACATGGTCTCCGTCAAATGGCTGCTGTTGTGTGGGGAATTGCATGTGAGTTGTCAGACACCAGAGCCCTTCCAGAGGGGATGACTGAATTCAGACCTAACGAGAGCATCTTACCTGCGTCTCCCATGTTTCCTTGCAGCCTCCAGAGAAGAGATGTTCAAAGAGTTGTCAGCTGTATTTCCCGAGCCGTTGCTCTGTTTATCTGCTGCGGTCTTTTAAAAGCAACTATATTTGGTCTTTCATTAGATTTTGGTTGCGTAACCAGTAAAGCAAGATTGCTGCCATTAGGAGCTTTGCACAAATGGAGCAGCTGCCGCTGTTGCCAGCGGCCAGGCTGGCTGTGCTTCACTTGCACATGTGCTGCTTGTCCTGGGGGCAGCCCCTGGGTGCCAGGCTCTGCTCTGTCGTGTGCTGGCAGATCTGCTGGAGCTCAGGCACCCCGGTGTTCCCAGAGAGGAGCTGGAGCTGTGCAGGGCTGAGGCACCGCTGCAGATCACGGCCTTTGCTGGGGCTGCCTGAGCTGTGCCTTCGGGGAGGAGGGGATGTAGACGAGGCTCTGCTGCTGTCTCATCTTCTGATGCTCTCTGAGACCGATGGGGCAGACCACATTTCCCCCTGGATGTAGCTTGGAGGTGTTTACGCCCCTCCAGTCTGTCTCTGATTTCCCAGATGCTGCTTTTTTGAGAGCTACAGTTCTGTGCTTCTGGGAGATCAGCCCGTCTGGACAAAGCCAGATCTGCAGCCTCAGCAGAACGTTGAGCCAGAGACCTCTGAAACTTGCCACTGTGTTTGAACAATGCAGAAGGGTTTGCTAGGCACCAGTCTGTCGTGTTTTCCTGCTAGTTTTCCTTTAAACATTCCCTGAAATGAAATGCTCACACAGTAAATAGCCTGGTAACTCTGTTAGCATAAGGCAGTCCACACACAGTGTTGGTTTGGAGTTGCCCTGTGATACATTGAATCTCCAGATTCCACTGAGTTGCTTAGTGATTTTTTTCTTTAATATTCCTAGCTACTGGCAATTGTTTAAACAGGTTAAAGTCCCCATTTCCCCCAGGGAGGGTTGTGTGCACAAAAAGAAAAGCCCAGTCTGTCATGGCTAACGCAGGAGATTTAAGCATGATGCTGCAGCCTCCAGACCCAGGAGACGAACGGCCCTGTACCTACTGGCTGAAGTGAAAATAGGAGACTTGGACTCCGGGGGTGGGGGTTGACTCACAGCTTTTCAATGCTGGGGCTTGGCAGAACAAAAGCTGCATTGTTGCAGTTAAGGACAGTAAATATGCCCAAATCTTTATTAGTCAAATATCTCCCTTTCATCTCATTAATATTTCACAGAAGTACAAGGTCAGAGCCATCCGTTCACTTCTCTGTGGTAGCCCCTGACAACGTTTCCTGGTGTGCAGTAAACAGGGCTGGGATGGGATGTGAGAGGTGGCTTCGGGGCAGTTCACCCGGTGCTGGACTTTGTTTCCATGCAGGGCTCCAAGCGCATCCTGCGCTCCCACGAGATCGTGTTGCCCCCGAGTGGACACGTGGAGACGGAGCTGGCTCTGACCTTCTCGCTGCAGGTAGGCTGGCACCGGCTGCTGCTGGGCTGCCGCTGCTCCCCCGGGCTTGTTCGCAGGGGGAGGTGGTGGCTCCGAGGTGGAGCAGGGCTGGCTGCGTGGTGGCTCCCAGGTGCAGGTCCTGGTGAGCAGCAGCACAGCTTGTGTGAATGGCCTCTCAGCGCTCAGGGCTGGTTCACAGCTCCTCCACAGTGCATCCCGGAGCAGGAAGGCTTTGCAGGCTCTCCTCCTCAAGGCATAGCTGTGGCAAGAGCTGAAGCAGAGCGAGTTGGCTCCTTTTTTGCCTTTTGTTGCCTTCTTATGAGCAGGCAGTGGAGGGTGGCAGCCGTGAGGGTGGTGTGGAGTGTCAGGCTGACAGGAGGCAGTAGTAGGAATGAGTCAGGTGAGCCTCTGATTTGGAGTTGCTGAGGGAGGCACCATTTGGGGAAGCAGGAGCAGTGTGCTTATAGTTACTCCTGGCTCTGGGGTCACAGGAATAGCTGTGAATTGGAACAACTGCATTTTTTGGTTCCTTTTTCTTTAAAGTCTGCTGCCCTGGTGCTACCTCCTGAGTAGGGAAATAAGGTAAATAAGGGCTTGCTGAAAGTGAGAGAGAGGATCCTGCACACATAGAGCAGAGCCAGGCAGACCTCAGGAGCATTCATACCTGGATTACCTTTGTTTTGTGACTGTGGGTTAGATCTTGACTTCAGGACTTTGATCTGGTAAGGAGAAAGGCTCAAGTGATGATGTGAGGCTGGTTGTTACTCAGACCTGTGCAGAGCTGAAGCAGGTAAGCTTTCGTTGCAGATAGGTGATAACCCTGCAGCTGCCCAAGCAGATGGCTGGGTTTACTGCAGCATTGCATCCCCTGTTTTGTGAACAGGAATAACCAAGCTGCATGCCAGGAATATCTGCACCTGGATCCTGTGGCTGCAGTTTTCCCATGGTTGGGAGCAAAGCTGTAAGACAAGCCAGGTTTCCCTCTGCCAGTCCTGTGTCAGGAAGGAGCAAGTCTGCAGATCTTTTGGAATTCATTTGGATTATGGTGTTTTGGGTTTTTTCCTGAGGCTCAGAGCAATGCTGCAGCAGGATGCAGCCTTTAACTCTGCTTCCCTGACGGGGCTGAAAATTGAGCCAGAGCAGGGGAGAGGAGTGTCTGGGACACTGAGCCTTCAGCAGAGGTGAGTGAGCTTAAAGCAGAGAGGTGCTGCTGGTCTCTGACTGCAGGAAGGGTTGGTGGTCTTGGATGCAGTAAGGCCTGGGAAGCATTCTTGAAATGACACAGCTGGATTTTTATGGCAACTTTTACTGCTGCTTAATTGGACAATGGCTGAAAGCTACTTCTAGCTAGCAACCATAGCTTAATTCAGCTGCAATCTGAATTTATTGCCTGGGATATATTTGAGAGGGGTGGTAGGCCACAAAGTAAAAGCATGTGGGTGTCACAGAGCAGGTTTTGTTGTCTTGCAGCAGTCAGTATCTCCGTATTGCACGGTCAGTTCTCAACATCGTGTGCCTGGCTTTGTGCTGCCTGCCTGGATTTGCAGCCCCTTGTACCTTTGTGCTGCCTGCCTGCTCAGTTCCTTCTCCTGGGTGATACTCTTGTCCTTTGCATGGAGTGTTCCCTTGCCAGAGCTGAGCTAGGGGTGTTCTGCTGGCTGGTACCACAGTGAGCAGCCCCTGGTGTCTGGCAGGCCTCTGCTCAGACTGAAGGGAGGAGTTTCCTGCTGCCCTGTTGCACAGCTGAGACTGGAGTTTGTGCCCTGTGCAGTCCTGCTTCCCCTCCTAGCTGGGGCTAAAGCTGAACCAGCAGCAGCCCTTCAGGCAGGTGAGCTGACATCACCCTTCCTGCTGGAATTCCTGCTTCTCCTGACCCACACTTCTGTGGGTTTCACAGAGCCCAGGGAAATTCCCCACATGTTCCAAGCTCAAGATCACACCTCTCTGGCATTAATTAAGAGCTCTGCACTTAATTCCTGTCTTTAATCTAATAACCTTTCCAGATGGGAGAGATTACATTATTGAGGCTTCAGAAAAAGTCTTACCCTGACTCTCACTATTCTGGTGTGTGCATTTTCTCACTCCTCAGAGGTACCTTGAGGTTTTTGGTGCTCCCTCTAAAAACTTTTGAGCCAAACTGTTTTCTTCTCCATTCTCTGCCATGGACTGACAATCACTGAAAAGTTTGTGTTGAAGCAATTCTGGAGAGCTGGTAAGTCATGGCTGGTGTTAAAAAAGCTGGACTGTGCTGTGCAAATAGCTCATCTTTTCTTCTGGAGGGCATTGCTTTTGATGGAGGAGCTGAGTGGCCTGAGTCTCTCTGTTCCTTCTTTTACCACCTCTGTGAATGCTCATCAGAGGTGGCCAGGCAGTACACCTGAGAAAAACAGAAACCCGTACATCTATGGACTTGAGGTGTTTAATCCCAGAAAACTGGACACGTTCAAACTGAGCTGGCCTGGCACCAAGGGTGACTTGGGACTTCAGTTCTAGGTTTGTACTTAGGCAGCCTAGGTGTGGCTCAAATGCTGTGAACTGAGAGCAAGGAGTCCCTCTTCCCTGCTGCCCTTCCAACATGTAGAAGGGCCCCAGAAGAAGGAAATGGTAAATTTGAGTGTGAAAGGTGCCTCTGGCTTTTTGAGCCCCTCTTGCCCCTTCTCTCCAATAACTTTCTGCCATCCTTTAGGGATATGGCACATCTGTAGAGTCACAGGCTCTGTGTGTTTTGGGATTGTCTTTTAGTGGTGTGGATTGTTGCTCCTCTCTTCTGCAATGCCTCTGCCTCGGGTAATGAGCAGTAGATCTTGCCCTTGCAGGGCAATCAGCTAATTAGTATTCTTCTTGTTTGGGTGGCCGCTGCTCCCAGCTCCCTGCAGAGCAGTCAGGCTTGCTCTGGACTGCAAATTAATATCTCAGGGTTTTCTGGTGGTGTTTGCTGATTTTATCAAGTGTTTTGATGGGCAGGAAGTTAATTTTCGTAATGTTCCAAGGAAAAAAAAGTAATTCTTCTCTGCAAGAGAAGCATCCTTTGCTTCCGAATGTCCTCTTTGAGATCCCAGCAATTAGGTTCTCCTGTCTGCTGGTTATTTAGTACTATTTATGTTGTATATTTGGAGCACATGTCCCATTCTCCTCTCTTCTTGGGATGAGAACTGGCCAGGTTGCTGCTTTATCTTTCTTCCTTTGGACAGCTTCTCCTTCATGGTTATGGTTATGGTTAGCCTTATTCCCTAACAGTCTCTTCTTCACTTCACAGCTTTCTCTTCCTGGGGACTTTCTGGAGGAGGTGTATAAACAAATGTATTTTCTAGTATGGAACATGCCTTGGGAGGATTTATGTCTTTGCAACATAACCTGGCAGTAGGACAGGTTTTTTTTTCTTGACTTAATTACTTAAAATACAACCAGTTGAGAGGTGTCCTTGTGCTGGAGGGAAGGCAGTGTCCTGCCAAGAGTGTGGGGGTCTGTGGCTGTCCCTGCCACTGCCCACTGCTTGTGCAGAGCAGCCCATGCCCAGGGCAGCACTGAGGGCTCCACTTCTGGGCATCCTCTCTTTAGCTTTTGGGAAAGTGTCTCCTAGAGGCTGCTCATCTCCCTGGGCCCAGCCCTTCCCAAACTGAGCAGCTGCTCTGTGTGCCTGGATTGTGTTTTTGGAGTGCCTGGCTGAGCTGTTTGGGCAGAGTCTTTCCCAGGGTAATGAAGAATTGTGCGCTGAGTGTGAGCGAGCTGCAGGCACTTAGGAAAGCCCTGGGCTTGTTCCTTAGGAATGGAGGTTATCCATGAAGCTGGGGAGCTATTGCCAAGAAGCAAAATGAGTTTTTCCACTGTGTTTCCCACCTCAGTACCCTCACTTCTTGAAGAGAGAAGGCAACAAGCTCCAGATCATGCTGCAGCGGCGGAAGCGCTACAAGAACAGAACCATTTTAGGCTACAAGACCCTGGCTGTGGGATGCATCAACATGGCTGAGGTGAGCTGCTCTTCCAGAGTCTGCTTTCACACGTGGACACCTTCCCTTCTCTCCAAACACACTGTTGTCACTTGCCTCATTGAGAAAAACCTGACAGGATTTCAAATAGCTGTCTTAACAGCTGCAATCAATATTCACAGGGCAATATTTTAACCAGATTTTATTACTGAGTAATAATATAGAGTGTTTTCTGCCTCATCTCTTAATAGCTAAAGCTTTCACAAGGATAGCTTGTGACATTTTGAGGGCTTTGTTATTGTTTTGTGGCTTTATTAGAGTTAGGGGGTCCAGATAAAAAAGTGGAGAACAAGACAGAGTCACTTGGGCAAGCCTTCCCACCCTGAGAAGTGGTAAAGTTAAAGCAAGATTTACTGTGCCTCTCCGTGCCACAGTATGAGAGTTCAGGATTAAGTAATTTCTCTCATTTTGCTTGAAAAACCCTTGGCCATTGTTATTTCGTGGCTGTGGGTAATTTAGGTGGAGCTCTATTCATGAGAAGTAAATGATAAAATTAATGCTGGAGTCAAGTATGGATAAATTATTCACCAAGGCTTTCTGAATGGCATAGCTCCATGCTTTGTTACTTGGTGCCCTGTTTAATCTCTGCTGTTTCAGTGTCTGAGTGTTTAGAAATGGGCTTAGCAGTAGCAAGTTCAGTTTCACACCAATATTTTTCATCAGACTGCATTCTGTCAACAAATTACTTTTATCCAAAATAAGCTAGTGTTATGCTGTGGTGAGTTATTATTATATTAAATAATTCACTCTAAAGAGTGCTTCTCTTGTGTGAGTGCAGCTTCCCTCAGCCTTGCAGTGAATGGTGAGCTCCTTATTTGAATTGGCCAAGTGCATGGTGTTGCAGCTAACATTTTTCCTGTACTGTTTGATTTGTTGGACTACCAGAAAGTAAATACTGCTGTAAGGCAGAAAACATTTGGGCCCATTAATTAGAGTCACTGGTCAACTTCTAAGTGTGGGGCATTTGCTGCTGCTACATGTGGTTTTTCTTATGTCTGTTTGTAATGTCAGCTGACTGGGGTTAGGAGGTCAAAAATGTTCAAAGGTTCGCCATGTTAGGAAATAGTTGCTCCCCAGCTCATCTGGAATATTTATGAAATTGAAGTCTTCAGGAAAATGGATTTTACAAGCCCTCCCCTCCCCTTTGGAGTTTATAGGATGATGACCCCTAAACTCCACTGACTCATTTCTTTAAAAAAAAAAAAAAAAAAAAAAAAGTTCTCTTAAGCTGTTGAAACAAAACAGTGAATTGGAGTTGAGAGTGAGCTGTTTCAGAGCAGGGGGACATATGTTCCTCATCAGCTCAGATCTGTTTAGGTCCCTGTGAGGAGGGACAGGGCAGCCTGGTGTGTGTTGGAAAGCTGCTGTGCAGGTGAGGGGATGGGCTCACTCACTCTGGTGGGGCTAGAGAAGATCACAAGATTCTGGGGAGAAACCTCTGAGCTGGGAGTGGCAAAGGGAGGAGAAATCTGCACCAAGGTGTCCCTCTGCCTCCACCACTGACTTGTGTTTCATGAGCTGCTGCTGCTTCATTGTCCTGGGGTGGTGGCTGGTTCCTCTGAGATTCATGTGTCAGCTCTCCACAGCAAGGATATTTGGCTTTAGGAGGCGCTTTTTTCTCATCAAGAATTTTTGCTTTTACCGGCTCTTTTGCTTGGTTTTAAGGCACTATCAAGTTCCTTAATTTGGTGTTCAGAAGGTGGGTAACTTGATAATTCAAATCAATACTGTGCTGGGGAAGCAAATACATAGTAATGAGGTAGTCAAGTACTCTGCTTCAAGGGTGAGCTAATCAGCTGTTAGACTCAGAATGTTTTTTGTTTTCTTCCATCACTTTCATTAGCAGTAGGATAAAATCTCAGCTAGCCTTGTGGATTGCCTGCAAGTGGCTCCTGTGGTTACAAAGTCCTGGAAATGTAGAGTAACTCCATTAACATAAATAACTCTTGTAGTATGCAAATGACACAAGTTTAAATACACTTAAATGCAGATTTGTTCTGCTTAATTTCTGTCCCAGGTCATGCAGCACCCTACAGAAGGTGGCCAGGTTCTGAGCCTTTTCAGCAACATCAAAGAGGCTCCAGTGAAGGTGGCAGAAATCTGGATCTTCTCCTTGTCAAGTCAGCCAATCGACCATGAAGACAGCACAATGCAGGCCAGCCAGAAAATCAAGTCTACAGGTAAGAGTCCAACCACATTCTCTGAGGACCAGTGCCTTCCTGAACTAGCTGAAGTTGAATTACCCTACCTGGGACAAATGAGGACTGGTTTGCACAAGTTGCTATGTCTGTAAGTGATCAGTGCAAAGAAAACCCACTTTGCAAAAGTGCTGCTGAGCAAGCAGGGAGTGTGACAGGAGCAGGGCATTGAATTGTCAGAGCTTTTCCTGCATGCCACACCACACCTGAGCCATCCAGCAAGGGTTGGCTGTGTCCTCACCAGTGCTCTCCCAGCATTACTGGTGGATGTTTTGAGAGCCTGTAGCTTCTCACCTGGCTATCAGTGATGTATTCAGGAGATTCACACTTAAGCTACTCTTCCATCTTCTTTTTCCTTTGAGTATTCTACAATAAATTTCATGAACTTTAGATGAGACCTGCCAACCTGCAGCATGTTTTGCAGGGTGTGATGGCCTGGCTTAAGGAGTGTAAATCCATGATGTTGTGCACTGTATAGGGAAGTCATTGGGTTCAGGCTTGTGGTGATGTTTTTATGTGGTACCAGCCTTCTGCTCACTGCTGTAGGAGTGACCTGCTGAAGGTAGTGCACATAGGTGTTTGTGTGCTGCTGCCTGGGGCTGGGCAGCTCACCTGAAGACTCATTTCCATAAAGGTTTTGTCGTGTTTCACTTGCCCCTTTAAGTCAGTTATGCACATGTTAGGGGGAAATGTAATTTCCCTTGTGGAGAAACCTTTTTACTTGCTGCTGTCTACCAGGTGGTTGGTATTTTCCAGAGGAAGTTTCCTCCTCCTACTGAAAGGAGGAGCCTTATCTGTGTCCTGGTCCTTCTTTCTTACTGGGTGTGTTCCTCTTCATTCCTTTCCTCCAGACAATCCCTGTCTCACTGGTTCTAGCACGGATAGATGCCTGCTAGTTTGTCTTCTCCTTGTGTGCCTCCTTTCTTGATTTGTGCCTTTAGCTGGCCTTTTCTGCTCCTGAGATGAGACCGTGCCCTCACCTTGAAGGAGTTTCACAGGATCTTTCCCCTCTTTCCTTCCCTTTCAGACAACTATTCCGAGGAAGAGTACGAGAGCTTCTCTTCTGAGCAGGAGGCCAGTGATGATGCCGTGCAGGGCCAGGTACTGTTCAGGGCATGGCTTCTCCCTGAGAGGGCTCAGTGGAGCATGTGCACTCCCAGCTCCTGCTTGAAACTAAAAGCCTATTTCTGTATCTAAACCACACCAGTGTGAGACTGTTACCAAGTGTTCAGCTGCAGTGGAGAGGGCCTGCACAGTAACCCATTTCTTCTACCATGCTGTGATTTATCTGTTCACGTGTTTGGACTTGAGCTCCTTGGAAAAACATTGGCATCCTTGTGCTTCTCTGCTTAATGATCAGGGTGTCATTTGATGGCTTCTATAGTGTTTATTGGTTTCAAAGAGCCCAACTGGATCCCCAGCTGTAATTAAAGGGCCAGTGGGGTTTGAGGCAGCCTTTAGTCTTTAATACCTTTTGCACGATAGGTCCTTATGGAGAATCCCCTGACTAGATGTGAGATGCTTTTGAGTTTGGATCTTACTTGCCTTCAGACTCTGGCATCACCTGTCAGAGGGTACCGAGAGAGGGACCCACCAAAATGTGGGGCTGTGACTGTCCTTGTTCCTTGAATGTAGAGCTAGGGCTGTTTTGCTTCTCCAAGCTGTTGTTCCTGTCCCTGCAGACCTGTCTCACTTCCTTTTCCCTCTACCATCATAACTGCAATTAAGGCAAATGCTGGATGCCTGGAAGACACAGCAGCAGGTTCATCTGCATAGAAGGAACATATTTACATGCTCATGTGTCGCAGAATGACGAAGGTAACACGGGAATCCTCTTTCTGTTCAGGATTTGGATGATGATGAGTACGAGATGGGGAAGCCCAAGAAGCAGCGGAGATCGATAGTAAGAACGACGTCCATAACCAGGGTCGGTGGAAATCAGTTTTACTAACACTGATGGGGTTTGGCCAGGATGTGCAGTGCATGTGGCTTGTGGGAAACCAGACACCCTGGCCCAGCATGGAGCTTGGGGGCATGGTCACAGCATGTGAAGAGCTAGAAAAAACAGCCAGTTCAGGCAGTGGGACCATCCAAGGTGTGTGCATGTCTTGAGTGTCCCTTGGCTGCAAGGTTAAGGAGTTCCAAAAATCATGCAAGTGTATGAAATTCCATCCCCATGAAGAAACCAGTTCAGGATCCATGCTCATGTAAGTCCTGAAAGTAGCTCTAAGTGGAGGAAAGCTCTCCTATTTGTGATCTGCAAATCTGTGATGGGAGAGGCCAGTGGGAAGTTCTCAAAATGAAGTGGCTTAGTCAGGGGTTGGAGCTTGATGGATAAACTTCAGGTGGTGCATGTGGTGCTGAGGCAAAAGAAGTAGCTGGATATGATATATATAGAAGCTTTATAAAGATGCATGTGGCTGTCCACGCCTTCCCCCCCCCCCAAGCATGGATGTACCTCCAAAGCTGCACTTGTGTGGAGCAGGGACTTGCTCTTCACCACACCATGGTCTAAGGCTGTTTCTGAAATCCGTGTTTTGACGAGGTCTGAAATAAACCCTGTTTTGACCTGAATCTGTCACTATAGAGATCCTTTCTGTGAGGTCAGGAGTGTGCTAGTTTGTACCCTTGGTGTCCATATTGTTTTGAAGTGTCAGTGACAAGTCAGGACAAAATCCACCCCTTGGTGTTAAGCAAGGAACTCATAAGAGGAATGCCCTTCCAGCCCTGCCCTCTGAACCGATGCTGAAGGTCCAGCTGGTGCAAAACTGGGTTTGGTGATGCCAGTGAAGTTACCATCAGCCCAGCTCCAAACCAGATCTGCTGTCTCTGAAACCGTTCAGGCCAGCAAACAGCTCTTGCCTTGTCACCCTAGCTGCTGCTGCATTCTGAGTGTCTCCCCTCGTGGGCTGCTGAACTGATCCCAGGTGTTCTCATGGATGGGTTTGCTTGACACCCTGAGCCAAAGGAGAACTGTCACTCTTGGGAGGGCATCTCAGCCTCAGGGATGCATTGGGGACAGAAACAGGGCTGTCTTGGGACAGTGTGCTGGATTTATTTCACCTAAGCTTCAGCTGTCTGGAAGTGGCTGCAGCTGCAGGACAGGAGCTCAGAAATAAAGGGTGCAGTTTGGGGTCTGTGTGAAGTGTCTGAGGCCAGAGCTGGGAGTAGGCAGTTGGATTTGCAAGACCTCATGAGAGTCAGCAAATGAGCAACTTTCTTCACCTCAGAGTGGCCCAGTGCCAGCCATTTCCTTCTTCCCTTTCCTCCTGACACAAGGATGCCACCTCAGATGCTCTGTACCAATACTGAGACCTGGGCCCTTCTTGAGGATGTGCACATCAGGTTTGTCAGTGACAGGCAGAGAAGGGCTGGGCAAACCTCAGCTCTTTGATCCTGCAAAAGGGGGAGCACCTGGGAGTGAGCAAGCACAAAGGGAGAGCAGCAGTTTGCCTTGTGCTGTTCTGGCCTTGGTTTCTGCTGCGTCCAGGATCTGGGAGTATGACTCCAGAAACGTTTGTGTGATGGGGCAAGTGCTGAGGATAAATGCCACAGCTTTTCACCAGTGGTTCTAGTGAAATAAATGAACCTGCCTTGCAAACTCCTGCAAAAAAGCCCCCATCACATTTGTTCTTGGGGTCAGTGTGGTGCCACAGCTTTTCACCCAGTGCTTCTAGTGAAATAAATGAACCTGCCCTGCAAACTCCTGCAAAAAAGCCCCCATCACATTTGTTCTTGGGGTCAGTGTGTAGTTGTCTATGTTGGCTCGGCCTTGTTAAGAATGAGAAAAGTTGACTGTCAGGTGTTTTCCAGGAATATATCAAAAAGGCACAGGGAGGTGATCTGGCAGATAAATTGTTTTCCAATGTGTGTCCAACCAAAAGTGGAGTGCCATCTTTCAGATTTACAGTGCTCATTGGAGTGGGACCTACCATTGGTGGTAATGAAGTTACCGTAGGTGTGGAAAAGCTGATTTCAGTGTAAGGACAGCAGGGAGGTGGTCTGTGGTGCCAGATGTTGTTTGATTTTAAACAGCAGCATAGCACCAGTGTCAGATGTGTCTGGCTTCTTGCAGGCTGGGAGAAAACAGCTCACTTAATGCTTTACTTATATAAAAGTGTCTTTAATTTGCAGCAACAAAACTTCAAACAGAAGGTTGTGGCATTGCTGAAGAGGTTTAAAGTGTCTGATGAGGTGAGTGATTCCTTCTGTAAACCTGCCTGCGTTGTGTGCTGCCCTCTGCTTGGGGCATCTTGCTTTAGTCTTCAGGAACACTCCCCTGTTTCCTCCTGTTCCCTTCATTTTGTTTTCAAGTCCACAGTGGATGTGACCTTTCCTTACACCCTGGCCTTGCAGGGAGGCTTGAGGGCCAACTTCTAAAGGTCAACAAGCATTTTGTAGATTCAGTTTTATCCAAAGCAGATTTTGGCAGCTGTGTGTTTACCCATTAGTTTTGCAGATTGCTTTGAAATTATCTTTGACCCGTTCAAAGGCAAGCAGTCCAAATGTTGTGTATTGCTTGTGAAGTTAAAGCCCAGCCTGTTTGATCATCTTACTAGAACAGCCAGGCAAAACATGAAAAACTTGGATAGGGAGCTCAATCCACAAGAGTCAGCTGCTTGCTCAGAGCAGAAAAGGATGAAACAGGTCCAAACCCCAAGAAACCTGCGTAGCATTAAGTATCTAACACAAAACCAGTGAACATCTCCTTTGGCTGCGCGGCTGTGTGCCGATTCTGTGGCTTGTGGGAAAGGGTGAGTAACTCCTCGTGCTGCCTTACCCTTCCAAGCAGTCCTGTTAGCTTTGCTGGTCTTCCCAGGTCAGCTCGGCACAGCCAGCAGCCACAGCTGAGAGCTCGGGCAGCCGAGCTCTGCTTTTTTCTGGAGCTGCCAGTCCAGAAGCAGGCTCCGGGCAGGGCACAGCCCCTGTGTGCTCCGGGGTGTGTGTAAAGCAAGTTCAGAGTGAGGTTTGTTCTCCCTGCCTCGGCCGTGGCGGCGGATCCTCCTCCAGGTTTCAGGCGCCTCCTGTGGACATTTTTGGGTATCAAATCAGGAGGCGTCAGGGCAGCTTTTTCAGTAAAAACCAGTACCTGCTACACTGTTGGGAATACTGGAAATAACCAATGGCACGCTCATGGATGCCTGGTCCAATATGTAGCTCCTGCTTAACCAGGCATTGACAAGCTTGATCCAAGACAAGCATTTCTCATATGCTTGATGTTCCTTGGATATAGTATCCTAGCACCAGGAATAGAATCTTACTCCCAGGAGTGGTGTACTGCAGTCATGGGGGAGCATGGGTGATGTGGGATCGGTCTGGCTCCTAGCAGAGCTGGTGATGCCTGTTTTTGTCCTGTGTAGGTTCTGGATTCAGAGCAGGACCCAGCAGAGCACGTTCCAGAGGTAGAGGAGGATTTGGACCTTCTGTATGACACACTGGATATAGAGAACCCCAGTGACAGCGGGCCAGAAATGGAGGATGATGACAGTGTCTTGAGCACTCCAAAGCCAAAGTTAAAGTAAGTGTGAGGCAGCTTATGCTGGGTTAGAGAGAGACCATGTGCAGTGTCAGATGTTGGTTTTATTCCCACCCTTCCATGCTCCTTTTTCCCCTCCTGACATGGTGGTGTTAGAATGGGAGTGACAGCTTGTGATCCAGAGGTGTGTGGGGTCTGACTTCCCTTCAGTCCCAGTTCTTCCTTGTTCCCTTTGCAGGTGTTCTGCTGCCCTGCACGGGGAAGATAGTAGAAACAGGCAGGAAATGTGTGCTGAGGCAGGGATGAACGAGGCACACTGTCTTTCTGGAAAGACCTTTCCTGTAATAACACCCTGTGTGGAAAGAGAGTCTTTGCAGGGATTAAGGAAGCAGAGCTGCAGGAAACAAATGGATTCCTGAGGGCCCAAAGGCATTGACTGCAGCACACGTGGATGTGCTCAAGCCTGTTCTTAAAGTGCTCCTGTGGGTCAGTCCCAGCACTGTGGAGCTGAGCTGGGGGTTGCTGGCTCGGGGTCTCGAGCAGATGCAGAGCCCTGAGCTAACAGAGCTGTGTCACACTCTGCTCAGTAAAGCCTGAAAATGTGAGACTGGGCTGCGCTCCTGCTTCTGTCTGGTGTGTGGCTGCATGCTCAGGCCCTCCGTGTGTGATGGCTCTGGAACAGAGAATTACAGCACTGACCACTGCAGCTGGTCAGTACAGCATCTGCTAAATCTGCTAATTACCAGATGTCATTATGGCCTCATTAATATTGAATAACCTCGTTGGGCTAAGAGTAGATTCTGGGTGTGGAGAGAGCTGTTCCCTGTCGGTGAGCCAGGAGATGTCAAGGACAGACTGGGGCAGCAGTGGAAATGGTGGGGCTGCTAGCATGTAAAGGTGTTTGGTGCTTAACCCAAGATACCAGCCAGCTGGTTGGCCCTGCCTTGAAGGGATTTGAAACTAGATGTGTTGTGGTAAGCAGCTGCTTTGAACCAAGCCAAAATGTTCTACTCTGCACACTGGGAGTTCATATCGTGTTCCCTGGAGCTGAGGAGCAAACTGTGCTGGGATATGTGATTGCTGGAGCAATGCTAGAATAAGAACTTAATGTGTGTGGTCCTGGGGAGAGACTTTGTAGTTTCCTAGGTCCAGTTCTGGTGTTCATATCTTGAACAGGACGTGATAAATGTTGGTGGCTTTGAGGCAGGTTTTTCCCATGACAACAAAAAATCAGTTCCTTATGTTGTAATTGAGTCTTGTAGCCTGATATGATGAGCTGCCTTTTGAGTAGAAGCACAATCTGATTGTGTGTGGTACCTTATCTTAGTGAGCAAATGTGTAATTGGAGCCTAGGGCTTGCAGCCAAATCCAGATGCAAGCTGGAAACAAAATGTATATTAGCCCAAGAATCACTTACCCAGGAGCAAAGTGTTGGGGTGTGGGGGAAGCAGTAATTCTGCTTGCTGTATGTCAGTCAGAAGCTAGATTCAGGAATGCCTGGACTTTCTGGCCTCTCTTCCTGTCCTGGGCACCCTCCTCTCCTTTTAAAAGTATTTTTACTGGAACCATTGGAGAGCACTAAGTTCTTCTAACTGTTGTGCTGCTTTGCTGTGAGTGTGGTGGACTTGCCCTGTCAGTGTTTTTTGTAATAAGAAATGGGTTTTACTTTTCTTATTCAGACCTTACTTTGAAGGACTGTCACACTCCAGCTCTCAGACAGAAATTGGTAGCATCCACAGCATCAGGAGCCAGAGAGAGCCACCAAGTCCTGTAAGTCACATTTCAAGTGTTACCTCTCTGCACTCTCTCTAATTGCATGTGTAAAATAAACCTCTCACCCCCCAAAGATTTGGATGCAGAGATACAAATTTTCTGCTAAGAAAACCCTGCTAAGAAAAGTTTGGACTTTTTGGGGATTTTTTTGGCCAGTTTGGGGTTTTTGTTTTGGTTTGGTTTTTTTTTTTTTAATGCAGATATCCTGTTAACTCAAGGATGCATCTTCAGGTTATGTATTGAATACTTGCTGATGGTGTGAATAGCTTCAGATTCTCATGTGCCTGAAATGACTGCCAAGATGGAAGACGTTGCCTGGGAGTTTTAGGGACTTCCTAGCACTCTGGAGGAAGTTTTTATTTGCTGTTGTTGGACTGTTTTTCCTGATGACTGACAATGAATGGTCAGGGACAGCTCAGCTGCTTTTCCATTCCCTCCTGAATGGGCAGAAAGTGTCAGTCCCATCCCAGAGCATTTCATTGCCTCTCCTGTGTGCTGTGCATCAGCTTTGCCACATCTCACAGTGATGTGTGCAGTCCTGGTGTGAGCAGGGAGCACTGCTGGCCATACTGCAGAGCTGTGTGATGTTTAAAGGGAGAAGCCACTCTTCTGAACAGCCTGACCCAGAGAACATGGCTGGAAACTGTGCTGGTGCTAAACCTCCTGAGGATCTTTCTTCTCTCAAGCAGGTAGAAGTGCCTGAAAAGACAAAGAGTCTTGGAACCAAACATGCAGGCGACAGTGTTTCTGACACTGTCCCTTATGTAAGTTGAAAATGCACTTGTTGACCTTCCTCCTGTCAGTTTGGGTGTCAGCTGTGGGCTGCATTCTGTGGGGTGCATCTGTCTGTCCATATAGCTGCACATGCAACACAACTTCCATGGGTAACATCAGCTGCAGTGAAAATAGCACTGAGTTCTCCTCCTGGCCTTAGTCTGGAGCTTCTTGTCTTTCAGCCTTTTGCAGGTGAAATGCTCTATTTGACCTTTTGTTCAAACAGCCTGAGGAGGAAGGCTGGCCCAAAGTTTGCTACTGAGCACATAAAGGATGCTCAAGGCTGTTCCATTTTATCAGACAGAAGTATTTAAGCTGAGTTGGCAGAAATCAAGCTGGTCCTGAGGTAAAAATCCCAAAGCTCATGTTGCTCTGCTGGGAACGTGGGGTGTGTAACATTTCTCTCATGTCTTTCTCTCTTAGCTAGTTCGTTTGGGTAAGATGAATTCATCTGCATTGCATGAGGAGGCATGTCCTTGGCTTTGAGCTGTGAGAGTGCCTGTTCCAAACAGCATCTCTGAACACCTTTCCTACCTCCAGCTCCCTTGTGAGGTAGAGCTGGGAATGGGTAGCCCCAGATAGCCACTACTGGTTTCCCCCTTTTGGCACTGAGCATGATGTCTGGAAGAGGCAGGCTCTGGCCAAATTGCTCCAGCCAGAGCTAAGCTCCCATGGTGAGACAGAGGGGAGGGTTTGTTCCTGGTAACTCTGCTCGCTGTGTTTGTGCAGGAGTCTAACCAGCAAGCTGAGGTCCAGGAGGCTGAACTCCCCACTCCAGATGTGTTTGTGGAGAAGCTCCCACCCAGTGGGAAGATCACGAAGACGGAGTCCCTCATCATCCCATCCACCAGGTACAGGGCTGTGCATGCTGCAGCCTGTCAGGAGGTCATGGACAGTGTGCTAGGACTTTGTCAGGGTGGCTTTAAGGCAGTGAGCTGCAAGGACACCCTCCCTGTGTTTGGGCACTTAAGTGATCAGTCTGGAGCACTTGGTAAATGAATGCCCAGAGGACTCTGTGCTGCTCTGGGGTGTGTGACTGCAGTTTGCCTGGGTGAATCTTGTGATGCTGCTGTAGCAGCAGCAGAGAGGTGGTGTGGGTGTTAGCACGGGCTGTGGAAGTCATCCTGGGACTCCTGGGAATGTGCTGAGCTGTGAGCTGTGCTGTCAGAAGCAGGATCACCCGGGCTCAGGCTAGCTCAGGTCTCCGTGCAGAATTCCCCAGTGCTTCTGCTGGCATCACTGAGGCTGCCAGGTGGGCTCTGGGGCTCTGGGGGCTGTGTCTCACTCACAAGTGTGCCTGCCCTGGCAACGCAAGCACGTCTCTGCAGCAGGTCTGAAGGGAAGCAGACGGGGCGCCGGGGCAGAAGCACATCCCTGAAGGAGAGGCAGCCGGTGAGGCCGCAGAACGAGAGAGCCAACAGCCTGGACAACGAGCGCTCCCCGGACACCCGACACCACCTACAGGTGGGCATGACACTGCTGGCCCTCCAGCCACTCAGTTTTCCTCTTCTCCGCTGTCTCCTTTTCCTTCTGGTTCAAGCTCTGTCCCTGCTGGGAAGGAACTGGGCCCCGCAGCTTCAGGAAGGAGGGAATTTATGTCTTGGCTAAAATTTTATCTTCCATCCAGTCTGCTGGGGTTTGCCAGTTTGTAGCTTTGTCAGCCAGCTGTAAACTCAAAACACAGGACCAGATTGTTAGAATGAGAAATGAATAGGGGTGTGTTGAGGAATTACTCCTTTGAAGTAAGGCAGATTGCTAGGGACTGTCTTGTGCACAACATATGTGCCATGCTTTTGTTAGCTGTGGGACTCGCTTATTTCCCTCCTTGAAGGAGATTGTTCCTGGCTTTTATGAATCTTAAGTTTCTGGGTTGCTGTTAGTTGGTATAAAGTGATGTAAATAAAAGTGCATGGCAGAAAGAGTAGTGGCCAACAGGTCCATGGTGGCTAATGCTGAAGAAGCTGCAGAGTGTCAGCAGCCCAGTGTGCCTTTGCTGATGGGGTGACTGGCCAGCATGCACATCAATTGCAAGAGCTGGAGCTGGTGGCTTGATGGCCAGAGCTGACACCTCTTACTGTTCCTTTTCTGTGTCTTTATTTCCAGATCCCCAGGAAAACAGTGTACGATCAGCTGAATCACATCCTGGTTTCCGACGACCAGCTGCCAGAAAACATTATTCTTGTCAATACATCTGACTGGCAAGGCCAGGTAAGGGCAGGCGACATTGCCTGGAGCACAGTTCTGCTGCACTGTCCTTCCTCAGGAATGGACAGGCAGGCCTTGAGCTCTGCACTAGCCAAGCAGGTTCTGCTGCCTGCAGAGTGCTCAGTGCCCACAGGCTGGATTTCATCTGGCCAGAAGATGCTGGGATCTCATAAAGCTTTGCCACTTGAGCCTTTCCACAGAGGTGTTTCCTCCTCCAAGCAGTGACATTCCTTCTGGTTAGCAGCACACTGGGAGTATGGCTAAACCCTTGCACTCAAAAGCCTCCTAAACTGTGGTAGACTGGGACAAAGGAGGCAGGGAGGTGTGACCTTGTCCTGGCTTAGGCTGAGATTTCTGAGCACAGGTGGTGAACAGGAGAAAATATTTTGTATCAACTCTGTGGCCATTTCCGTGTGCCTGTGACTGCTGACTGCAGGAATCACCCCATCCTTGCTGAGTGATGCTTGTTTTAAGGAGAACCCTGAGCAATACTTTCTTTTGCTGACAACATGGAGTGGTTTGTTATGGGTTTGGAACAAATTTTGCTCCTTTTGGAACATTATTCTGAGAAAGCAATAAAATATGTATGGAAGAGGACCAATGAACATGTGCTGGGTGGCTGCTGCCTGGGGAACTTGTGCCAGACTTGTGGAATTACATTGTCTGGTTTGGCTTTCTGTTTCTGGAAGAACTAGGGTCTCAATGTGTGAGAGAGCAAAAATACCATCTGAGCTGCTGGTTCCACTTTCTCTATACTTGGAAGACAGAGAAATGCCTTCTAGAGATGGACAGAAGGTGTTGCAGATCATCTTCTAGGGGTTCTGGCAGCTTGTTCCTGCAGTATCAGAGAGCATGAGGGATATGGACTGGGATGTATAGATTAGTCATGGAGAAATTGAAAGTGTGAGATAATTACCGAGTGCCATAATTATGTCCATGTGTACCTGAGGTGTGTGGTGTCCCCATCAGCTGCATGGAGGGGAAACAGTCCCTCAAAAGGAACATGTGTGTGGTAGCACCCTTCCCTTTCTTCAGTGTTGAAGGGTGGGCAGAGCATTGCATTTCTTTAAAATGGATATCAGAGAGATGCAGCTGCACTGCCAGAGGCAGGCAGGTAAACAGTGTCTGCTCTTTCCCAGAGCTGTCTGCTCAGTGAATGGTCTGCTGGCCCTGCCCTCTGTGGCTGTAAAAACTGCTGCATGTTTGGGACATGGTGTTGTGTCTGTCAAGAAGATGTTGCCATTTTTATAAAAGGGGAACTTTTCTTGTCTGCTGTGCATGGAGGATGCATTTGTGAAGTAGCCATATCACCTTCAGACACAGGGAGGGTGCCCAGGAGTGGGTGTGAGAATACCCAGGAGGTTGAGGAAGGCACATTTTCTTCTTTTGACAAACTGTACTGGAAAAAGGACTAAAAAGTGTTCTGTTCTCTCCTCAGTACCTTTCAGATGTCTTGCAAAAGCACACCTTGCCAGTGGTCTGCACATGTTCCTCTGCTGATATTCAGGCAGCTTTCAGCACAATTGTCTCCAGGATACAGAGATAGTAAGTTCTCACCTTGCTTGTGTTGTCTCAGCCCTAAAAGCCTCTCAGCTCCTGTGCCCCAGGATTCAGGGAGTTAATTTCTCAACTCCTGCATGAAACCTTTCCAGTCTGCTGTTCTGAAGTCAGAATTGAATTATGTGGCTCTTCAAGAGCTGTGTGGCTCTTCAGCACTCGCCACCCCTGCAGGGGACTGCTCTTGTGCCTCGTGTGAGGCATGCAAGTCACAGCAGCATGAGCAGCTCAGAGACTGTTCTTGGAGGCTGCCTCATGGGTGCAGTGCATGCACCACTAAAGCATGCAAAACAAATAAAGGGGTTTTAAATAGTTCTTGCTCTCCCTTCCAAGCAATTCCCAGATTAATTCCTCAGTTCCTAAAGGCACTCCCTACTTATCTGCTGGGGGCTGTGGGTACCTGAGTTTGTTCTCTGACCCAGCAGTTAGTAGGTACATCCTAACCTAGATAGTTAGGAGCCAAACCCTTTAGAATGTCAAAATGTGCAAAAGAAGGAGCAGGGAGACCAATTAAGAAATTACTGAAGAATTTTGTACTTTATTAATAATGTTTTAAGCTGCTGAGAATCGTTGCAGTATTGCCTTGTGTATTGAGCAAACTCTCTTCTGCTATAATTGTTATTAACCAGTTGGGGTTTTTTTTGCTGCTTGTTCTGAAATGCGTGGTTGAAGGCACAATTACAAATATGTTTCCTCTTTTTCTGTCTAGCTGTAACTGCAATTCACAGCCTCCAAACCCAATTAAAATTGCAGTGGCAGGAGCCCAGAATTACCTCAGTGCTGTGTTGAGGCTCTTTGTAGAGCAGCTGTCTCACAAAACCCCTGACTGGCTTGGCTACATGAAATTTCTGATCATCCCTCTAGGTAAATAAGGAATGGTGTTTCTTCACAGGAAGGGGAATGGGTGAAATCTGCTGTGTTCCCTCAGGAGAAGCTTTTCTGGAGCTTTGGCTATAGGTTAAATGAGGCAAATTGTTACGTGACTGTGTAGTGCTGGTGTTGCTGCTCTTGTGGGAGTGAATTTCATCTCTAAGTTCCTGGTGCCAAAGTCTGCTTGTAAGTCTTTTGTTTGAAGCGAGGGGTTAAGTACTTCCTCCCCATACAGGGAAGCTCTTGTGCACAGAATGTTGTTCTGGAAACCCTTTTCCCTGGCTGAAATGTTAAATTCAGTGGTCACCATGTTTCCCAAAGCAATAAATGTTCTGGCCTCCCTGGGCTTGACTCAGAAAATGTTAAGAGGAGGGGTTGAAAATTTTTAAAAGGCTCTGAAACTGCTGAGAATTTGAATTATTCAAATTACATGCATCTCTTGACCTTTACTTTTTGTGCTGGTCTGCTCAGGTTTTTCCCTCAGTTTTCCAACACTTTATCTCTGCCCTTTCAGCAGCCCAGCAAGCCTGCCTGGCTGGAACATTCTCCAGCTTGGATTGCTTGTGGTGAGGGAGGTAGAGTGCACTGATAGCAGCACCAGGTTCCTGGTGTAGTCAGGAACATGAGGAATGTGGTGGTGGCAAGGCCTGGAAAGCAGGGGAGTCACTGGTGCTGTGGGCAGTGACATCTGGGCACTGCTGGTGGGGTCCAGGGCTTGACTTGTGTGGACAGAGCACTTAAGTGGTGTAAGCAGCAGAACACTTGAAAAGCACTTTTTGGCAGTGTTCTCCAGTTTTCTGGGTTTGGGAGCAGCTGATGGAAGTTCCTGTAGGAATCAGAAGCTGCTGCCCAGCACCATGAACACTGGGGTTAGGCTGTCTATTCAGTTGTGGCATTTGCAAAAGTTAAATTTAAAAAGGCAGAGGAAAAGAACTGGATCCTTCTGTAAAAAAAAAAAGCATTTAGTTTCCAAAGTGGTTGGCAGGAAGAGAAGAGAAGAGAGAGCCCTTTAGGGAGTAAAAACAAAAAAAAAATTAAATTTCTGCAAGGTTAAATGTGCTTTGAATGAGAATCTGTTTCTGAGACTTTGCTGCTCACTTGCTGACTGTCTCCTGGCCTCAGAAGAAGAGTTTTCTGTCCTGCAGTTTTTAATGAGCTGAAAATACTCTCTCTTTGGAAGTGAAACACAACATTTAGCTAGTGTTTGCATTTGGGTTGGTTTTTTAATCTTAAAACTTAGTTTTGTAATCAAAAAAGAAAAAAATTAACCAGGCACTTGGATAATGAAATGCTTTAGAACTGTGAATTCTTTTGAGATTCTACTTTAAATATAGAAACTTCTGTAACAGGATCTTTTCCACAGAAGTCTGCAGTATTTCCTGATGGGATCAAGTGCTTATTTCTGGCCAGCTCTCTGGCAGTTCATTAAAGTGATTGAGGAGCCACCTCTCATTTCTGACAATTGAAAAAGTACCAAAGACAGAATGGTGACCATGCCATAAATGTCTTAAAGGAAAAGCCTCTCTGCTGCTTGCAATACCTTTGAAGTAGGGTTGGTTGGTGGTTTTTCCATGGGTTTTTCCACAGCTACACACTCCAGTGACAGAAGGGTCAACCCTCAGTGGTTTATTAGCAATCAGAAATGCTCAGTGTCTGCAAATATATGATTTAGTCCTGCTCCATGCCACTGATTCCGTGGCTGTAAGACTCCTCTGCTGTCTAAGACACTGTATCATAGCTGAAAAGGGGAAAATAAAATGTTGAGGGGTTATTTTGGCCGTTTGGGGTATTTTAACCTTTTATATAGCTCCCATGGGTAGGACTTCTTGGGAGGCTTTGCAGTTGACTGCTTGTTTCCATGTGCAGTGTGTGGGAAAGCTTCTCCAGTACACAGTGCAGAGCTGTGATGTGTGCCCTGCTCAGAACTGCCCTGCAGGGAAATGATGGGGCCCAGTCTCTCCTGACACTGAGGGCAGCTCAGGGGGACCTCCAGCTTTCACCTCTCTTTGAAGGCTGGAAATCAGCTTGGAGGTTTGGAGCACTGAGACAGTGGGTTTATTGTTTGGGGTTTTTTTCCCCCCAGAGCTTTCCTGGACCATGGTGAGTACAGTTAAGCAACTGGGGTCATCTTGAAGGGATTTGTCAGGTTTCCAGTTACCAGCTGGTGACTCAGCTGTCTGGAAGTGTGGCTTGATGGGCAAATTTGGTGTGCAGGAAGGATGAAAATAATGTGATTAAGAGGAGCTCCGAGGCTGCTTCGTGTCTGAGTGTAAATGTACAGGGCTGGTGCTGAGCATGACTGCCAGGTGGTGGCTGGGCAGGGTGATCCTGGCACACCTTTTCTCCTGTGTTCAAAGACTGTAGAGGTAGTTGCTAGGGGGTGTTGTCTGTTTTGGGGACACAGATGGCCTGAAATGAAGGTGGCAACTTTTTGCCACCTCCCAAGGCAGATTTTGTCACTTGAACACCTTCCCTGTCCTGCTCAGTGTAAATATGCAGTCAGATCTCTATGCAGGGCTGGAGATCTGCACACACAAAGCTTCTGCAGGAGGTCTTTCCATGCTCATGGGGGAGCTGAGCCACGAGGCTCAGCCAGAGTAAGCAGGGACCTGCTGCACATGCCAGTGTTCACTGGGTACTGTAATCCTGGGGCTCTGCTTTCTGCCTCAAATTGCAGCGTATTTATTGAGCTTGTAGCCCTTCTCCACAGATTAAACAAGCCTCCCTGGGTTATTTTTCCTGCCTGGGGGCAATTGCCTCTTCTCAGTGTTGCAGAACAGCTGTGGGGTACAAATGGTGCTTGGAGGAAGGGGTCTGGCCCCTCCTGGCAGAGGTGGCCTGGCTGTGGTGCAGCCTCTGGGCAGGAAGGGCTGTTTGGGAGAGCTGCTTGCAAAACTGAGAGACATGGAGAGCTGTAGAGCCTTTGTGCCTTCCAAATAATTTATTTCCTCGGCAGATTCCCAGTCCTGTTTTCTTTGGCCTTTTAAAATTTAATTTGTTTGGGGGAAGGTGTCAAGTAAAAGACAGCAGTTTGGTGAAGCAAACAGTCTGCACTGGGAAGTCTATTTGCATGCTCTTGTAGAGATAAGCTGGACTAAATGACTTGGTTATAATTGAAGAAGTTTATTTCTGAGGTGTCAAGTGTGGTTTTGATTTTGGAGTTTAATTCCTTACAGATCAAACCACGCTTGTGTTCAGTGCTGGAGAGCACAGCTGTCATGTTTTCCTTTCTTTCTTAGGCTCTCATCCTGTGGCCAAGTATCTGGGGTCTGTAGATTATAGATACAACAACTTCTTCCAAGATCTAGCCTGGAGAGATCTGTTCAACAAACTTGAAGCACAGACCACTGGTAAGAGTCTGTGTCTGTCTGGCCTGTGTGGGATGAAAAGCTTGAGTGAGTAATTTTAGCAGAGGTCAAGTAAATACAAGAGGAAGCAGACAAGTGTTTTTGTTCCTCTTTTCTCCTCACTCCACCACATTCCCATTTCAGATGCTGACCTTTCTAAGTCGTGCCCATGGTGGTTTGCAAACAGTTATTGGCTCCCAGAGGCACTAACTAGCTCCTGTGAGTCATGCTGTTCTTACCTAGCTCTCAGCTTTGCTCTTTGATGTGGAGGTCTTGCTCCTGAGTTCAGTACATTGCTTTCCTTCAGGAACTGTGCAGCCTAAAACGTTTGGAAAACCAGAAGCTCTGGGAAGATTAACTTCTGTTAGTTGTGTGTGAGATAGATCCTGCCAGCAGACTTGAAAACATTCTTATTAAAGAAGAATTTTGTTCCTCACCAGTGTGGTAACAGTGGGAGCTGCCCTAGGTCAGACCAACAAGTTCCTGTTCTGATCTGAGTTTGTTCTAGGCCAGACTAAAGCCTTACTCCAGTTAAAGTACTGATCTGTTTAAAATGTGAATGCTTACAGTATCTTCCTCCATTTCTTCATGAATGGAAAGAAACAGGAGAAAGGAGGATTTGCCACATTCAGGGCTACGTGAAGGCTTGAGATTTGATGCAGTAGTGGGCAGCATTGCCCACACAGAAATTTCATCAGAAGGAAAAAGCTTTGGACTTTGTGCAGCACCAAGAGTGTGGGGAGGTTGCAATGTGGTTCTCCCTGTTGGAATTGCAGAGTTCTTGAGACTCCCAGGATGCTCCTGGAAGTCCTCTAGCCATGAGAGGAGGAGGGAGACCTCTTCAGGAGTACTCGCTCAGAGCTGTTTCCAGCAGATGGGAGCAGGGCTGGACAAGGCCTGGGGCAGCCTGTTCTCAAGGTGAAGTCAGCCCTGTTTGGAGCAGGAGGCTGGACTAGATATCTCCTATTGTGCTATCCAAGTTACACTTTCCCTTAATCCTGAATTCAGGGAAGAACTGGTGTATGGAACTGGTTTCCTTTAATTGCTTGGTGCACTTGAAAATGCAGAAAAATGTCAATACAGACTTGATTTTTGTGTCTGAATTAGGAATACTTCATTACCTGTAGAAATCCAGAAGGAGCCATATCTGTTCCTTAGTTGGTTGTATGAGGAAACCATCCAGCTAAAAGGAAAAATCCACCTCATTTTTGTGTAGTGCAGACTTTGTACATTCTGCATTTTGGTCTGTGGGATGGCAGCTGCACAGGAACTCCGTAATGGCACAAGGAGATCTGGCAGAGAACCATAATTCTTACCAGTTAAATGTTCAAATACAAAGAGTCTGGGTTGAAATGCCCATTTTAAAGTATGGAAGTGCCTGTTGAAGGTCACTTGTGTTCCTGGGATCTCACAGTTGAGGCTCTTTGGTTGAAACCAAAAAAAAAATATGGAAAGCATTTAAGAAATGTCCTTGTGTCAACTTGAATGAACCACAGTCTCACAAAATCACGGGATCTTTGTGCTCTTCCTACCCTTGTGTGTCCCTCTGTCTTTTTGGTCAACTCAGCAAGGCCATGAGTTCAGTAGAAACTCAGGTAACTCAGTGCTGGTGTGAGCAGAGCAGCTCACCTGGGAGACATGGCCAGGCACCTTCTTCAGCAGATACCTACAGCCAAGGTGTGAAAGAGTCTAAAGCTGACTCGGGGCAGGGGCAAAGAAAAGCTTTTAACAAATCTAAAAGACCCCAGATTCAGTCAGAAATGCTGAGTACAGATTCAGCTTTACTGTGCTCTGGGGTAGGCAGAGCTTCCTGTACAAGGTGCGGAGCTGGCTGGGCAGCACCAGCAGGTGGAGGACAGGGCTGGCAGGGGTCTGAGGGAGGACAGGGCTGGCAGGGGTCTGAGGGAGGACAGGGCTGGCAGGGGTCTGAGGGAGGACAGGGCTGGCAGGGCTCTGAGCAGTCACTTGAATGCTTTTCCATCTGTTCTCTGCAGTTTCAGAGGCCCCCGACGTCGTGTCCCGGATAACGCAGTACATAGCAGGGGCAAACTGTGCTCACCAGCTGCCCATTGCTGAAGCCATGCTGACCTACAAACAGAAGAGGTATGACCCCCTTGTCCTGCTGGCTCCCAGCAGAGCAGCTGCTTGAGAGAAAAGTGCTTTTCTCATGTCTTGCCAACAGTCTGAAAACCAAACAGCAAAGACCTTGGGAGCCTGCACCCAGTGGTGTGCCCCACTCAGTGAATCTACAGCAGCAAGATTACTTTAGGTGCAGAGATTCTGTTTTTTGAAGATCTAAGAGGTTTGGGGAAGTGCAGGCTAAACAGGATGGGGATGGACAGGTTTTATGTGCTTAGGTTCCAGAGCTCTCTCACCACAGCGACCTTAGGTGTGTAAGACTTGACCGTGGCATTCTCCCACCAAGTATCTTCTGTGAGACCTGACCTTTTTTACATTGGCATTTAAGGAACTAAGCCCCTTCCTTTTTGGAGTGTAAATAGCAGAGCTTCTTGCAGGAGAGACAAAATCCTTATTGATTGGCAGTTGCAAGCTGCCACGACTCCTGCTGAGGAGGGCTGACATTCACCAGATTTCATTTCAACTTTTCTTAAGGGATAAGCAGGCTGTAGGAGGGAGGACTGGGGCCTGAAAACAAGATTCAGGAGCAGGTAGGGCTTCCTGTGGCTATGGTCCAGGAAGAAGAGTAACTGTCACTGAGGGGTAGAGAAGCACTGTTATCAAGGGACAGAGGAGAATGATAGATTTGAACTCAGTTGATGTGAGTCTCCTCAGTTAGAGACTAACAACTCCCTATGAGACATGGATGTTGTTAATTTTTAATTACTTCTATTTGATTTTTCATTTTTGGTCCATTAACATCCCTTATTAGCATCTCCTTTGCCTAAGAATTTGAGAAATTGAGAAATTGAAAGCGTGGGTAGCGTCACTTTCCCTCCTTCTTTTTGGAAATTCTCCTCGTATATTGCTTTTGCATTCCTGTGGAATTCCTGTCTGCTCTCATATTACTGTGCAGAAATGATTCAGTGAAATTTCACCCATTCTACCTGTATTTCCTGTATTTCCAGACTGACTAGTCAAGTAAAAGAGACTAGTCTAGTCTCTTCGTGTATTTGTGGACTTCTGTTAAAGTTAACATGATAATAAGGATGAAATTTCAAGAGCTACAGAGCACTTGAAGCTCTTGCCTTCAGTTTTGCATCTTGTTTTTGGTGTGAAGGCTTACCTTGGTTACCAGCAGGGATCTCAGACACCCCAGGGCAGTGGGAATCCCTTCTGAGGCTGCCTGGTTCTTCCTCTGCACCCTTCAGGTGCTGGGTTCTGCACTGCTTTCCACTGCCTCCTCCATTCTGTTACAGCTTCATTTTTGTCATTATCACACATTTAAAGGTTTTGAGTTTCTAATGTGTCCAGAAGGTCAATTCTGCATTTGAAAAGAGCAGAAATGTATTTGAGCAACCCTTATCCCTCCCAGCAGCGTGCAGGACTGCTTTACCAGGCTGGTCTGATCCGTTTGGGTTTGACACCCTTTGGACTCTGATGCCACGCCTGAACTGTTCCTAGTTTTCATTTAGGAGGTTGTTTGGAAGAGACATTGCTGAAACTCATGCTCACACTCTGGTATAACCTGCAATCTCTCAGTATTTCTGTGTGTCTGCCTTAACTTCTCCTTTCAGGTCAGTGCCCCATGAGCAAAGGACAGTGAGTAGGAGGCTCTCAGTAGGGCATGGACAGTTGTGTCCTGTGTGCCTTCCTTTAGCAATGGGGGTCTCTGTCACTGGCAGCAACTTAGGAAGGGTGTTGTTAAAAACAACACAGTAATTGTGTCCCCATTAGCACTGTCTAAACAAATGTATCACTTTGTTACAAGTATAATAACACATTTATCTTTTTCTTTGGTTGCTTGCTGAAAAGGAAAAAGAGCTTTCATTTTGATTTTACCATAAGGTATCAGTTCTTTTTAGGTTCCCTCTCCCAGCTCCTCTCTCTTTTCCCAGTGAACTGGTGATTTGTGCCTTGTTTAACAGCTCCTGCAGGTCTGGGATGCACAGTTTGTGCTTTAGGTTTAATTCTGCTCACTGCTTTGAAACCATGGCATCTGCTGGCAGAGTGCATCGTTGAAAGTGACTGCTCTGCCTTTGGATCACACATTTGGGTTCCCAGGATGTAGATTGAGTGGGAATGAAGGAGTTGTTCAGAGAGTAGCTTAGAGCAGTACAACATGGAGAAGGTGGGGTTTTTTTCCTTGCCTTTTCCCTTAGCCATCAGAAGAGAGAGTGTAGCTCCAGAAGGATCAGGACTGAGAAAAGGCTTTTCAGTTCCCATCTCTTGGAACTGGAGTGCTGTAGGTGGCACTCAGTGCCTCAGGGTGGGGATCAGCTGTGTAGTGTCCAAGTGCAGACCAGCAAATCTCCTCCCTGTAATCAAAAATTTGAGGACTAGCCTCTTACTGGCAGAGCATCCCAAACATGTGGGACTTCTCTAAGCTTAAGAAAGAAGGCAGATGTGTGCTAGCAGTGGAGCTGTGCTGTCTGAGCTGCCTCCAAAACCCCCATGCTCTGCAGGGTCCCCTGCTTTGAATCATATGATATTGGGCATTTTTTATTTTGTATTCAGCACACAAAGTTACTGCAACTCCCTCCCCCTTGAGGCCAGAGGTGAATGGCTTCTCCAAGGCCTGCTTTCAAGGCAGTGGTCCAGGTAGAAACAAGCAGCACTACCTACAAATTCATTGCAAAAGATATCTCCCAGAATCCTGACATTTGCTCTGTTAAACAAGTCCTAGTAGTGCAAGGAAAGCCAAGCCAGTCTCTAGGATGTAGCTGTATGTGGTGAGCTGCTTTACAACTCTCTTGCCAGCTGTCCCTGTTCTGACTGACCCCGCTCTCTCCCCGTGCCCTTGTTCTGTTTGTCATGGCAAAGGTTGGCGCATGAACTGCCTGTGATGGACTGCAATGGTGCCAAAGCTTTGTCCTGGTCTTCTGGAGCATCTGCTGACCTTACCTGAAAGCAGAGGGGCTGGCTGTGAGGAAGGGGGTTCACGAAGGAAATGAAGTGCCATTGCAGCTCCTCTGAGTTACACTGGGTGACTGACTCTGTCTGTGAGCTCTGGGAGAAATCCTGGTTACTGAATTCTGAAGGAACAGTGCAATCCAGGCAACACCTGGGGAGCTGAGACTCTGGGGATGGGGTGGGCCTCTCACCAGGAGGGGCATGTCACTGATGTCTCTCTGCACTGCTTTCTTGAAAGAAGCACTGTGGCATTTGAGGTCTGAGAGTCAGCGCTCACACATTCCCAGTGCAGCTGCTTTGCTGGGCTGGTGTCACCCACTGTAATTCAGTGCCCAGCACAGCTCATGCCCTGTGGCTTCTGGACAGCCCTTGCATGAATCTGGGGAGCAGCCTGGCTGTTGGAAATGGAAGCTTTGTTCACTTGTCAGGGCAAGGGCTGGATCACTGCCTGCCTGGTTACGTGTTTACCAAAAGCTTTTGGGAGCACTTCCCAGCTCTTGCTCCCAGTTCCCTTGGATTGGAGGGCTCCTGGGCAGTAGGAAGCACAGGTTACACTGATCCTGCCTGCTGTGTGTCTCAGAGGCCCTGCAGGGCAGTGGCTGAGCAGAGTCCAGGTCATTGCTCTGGGCGCTTCTCCTCAAACACACCCTGCAGCAGCTGCTGGATGTGAATCCGGCTGGCCAAGAGGGGCCTGGTCCCTCCTCTGGCTCAGCAGAGCTCGTCTGATCTGCTGATTACTGCAGGAAACTCCTTGGGCAGCTTCTGGAATTGCAACAGGAGTACAGCAGAGGAGAGTCAAGGCTCAAGAAATTATGGATGTCCTGTTGATTATATCCAGCCCACCACAGCAAAGTGAAGAGTGCTGGAAAGGAAAGGCTGAGAGGAGATTCATCTGATGTGTCATGAGGACCTGGTGCCGCTTTGTCCCTCGTTTGGTTTGGCCCTGGTGGAAGCAGGACAGTGTTAGCCAGCAGACAGCTGGAGTTGCCCAGTGGGCAGGACAGATTTCATGTCATAGCTGAGTGAAGAGCTGGTGGTGCTGGTGCCTGGCCTGAAATGGCCCAGAGTCCTGCCAGTCCTTCAGTGACAGAAGTCCCTCTTTTCTGTTGCCTCCTTCAGGACTTGAGTGGAATAAAGGTGGTGCCTGAGACCCTTCTGGTTAGAGAGATTGTTGTAGACACATCAATAACTGCTAAAAATCACAAACTTGGGCCAGGTCTGGCTTTAAATTACAGCTGAGGTACCACAGCCTTCAGAAGCCCTGTGGGTAAAAAAAAAAAAAGCCTTGGACATGTGGGGTTAACCCTCTGCAGCCTGGGAATCTGTGCAGCTGAGGTAATGAGGGGAAGCTGCCTTTTCAGAGATGGGAGATGTTTTAGTTGCAGGGCTGTGGTAGGAGGAAGAATCAAAGCAGCTGTTACCAAGGTGAAAGGATTCTGAATTCATGTTTTGGGATCTTGAGATCCTGAAGAACAAAAATTGGGAAGAGCATGAAGGAAGAAATGAAGAACAAGCATGGTCATGTCATCTTTTCTCTCATCCACAAGAAGAGCAGCTGTTTTGATAAGCTACATTTCCAGAGACACACGTGCAAGAGCAGAGTTCCCAGGAGGACGTATAACAGGACTAAGCTAGCTGAGCTGAAATCCAGCTGGATTGCTTCAGGAACAGCCTGTGCATCGCTGTGAGCTGTGATAAACGGTGGCTGAAGCAAATGATTATTTCAGAGTTGCCCCTGAGCTCTCTGCAGTGGGAATCAGAGCTCCCAGGGGAACGAGAATGAGTTTTCTGCTGGAACTGGACGTGGTTGGTTTGTTCAGAGCTCGGAGCAAAGCCGTCCAGTAGCTGAGAGATGACTGGATGGCTGTGGTGCTTCCCTCCCTTGGTGAGTGGGACTCACTTTCTGCCAGCCTCCAAGCCCATGGAGCTGAAGGAAAGAGAAGAGAGCTGAGCCTCTGTTCTGTGCCTCTCCCAACAGCTCTGTGGTTTTCTCCTTTCACTTTGCAAACCTGGAGCTGGAAACGTCCTGTTTGTAAGAGATGTGTTTGCTGGGCCCAGCAGTTGAGTTGTGTTTGCAAAGATGGGACCTTCCTACCTTCCAGCATGGAATCAGGGACTTGGTCACTTTGTCCTGTGCTTTAGGAGGACAGCGAGGGTGCAGTGCCAGAGGGTGTGGAGGAAGGGAGCAAAGGCCCTGGCTTTGCCTTAAGGATGGATCAGCAGAGCTGAGCCAAAGCAAAAGGCTGTTTGCAAAATCATGTTCTGCTTTGGACCAGAGGGAGCTCTGGCTGAGTCATGTTCACTGCAGTTTTATGGCATCCTTTCCTTAGAGCTTAGAGGAAAGTGTCCAACCTGTGCTGATCACACAGGTTAACAACCTTTGTGCATTTGGTGCATTTCTGATTCGTGCTGGAAACAGCACAGAAACACCTGCAGTATTTATGCTACTCCAGGCTAAATTCTGGATGAAAGTAATGCTGGATGGATTTTTCTGAACACTGGGGGATGCACAGGAAGAGAAACATGAGAAGTCTCAGTGTTTGTCTGCTTCCTACCTGTTTCCTGTGCTCAGTCACTGAGAAATGTGTGTCTTGCCTGTGCAGTCACTTCCCTCTGCTGAACTGTAGTTCCTCCAAACACGTGGATGTGCTCCTGTGGTCTTCTCCTCACGCTGTGGTCCGTCTCTGATCTCTGTTGCCACTGAAGGGAGCAATGGCTCTGCAGGCCCTTCCGGCCTGCCTTCCTCCTCATTCATCTCTTCCTCCTCTTGTCTTTGCCGAATCTCCCCCTAATTCCTGCTGGGTTTGACTGTGGCCTTCATTGCCGGCCTTTCTCCACCCTCTGCTTCGTGGCGGGGCCCGGAGCAGAGCGGCGTTCCAGATGTGTGCGGTGTTGTCCCCAGCTGTTTCTGGGACTGCTGTGCCCTTTGCTGGGCTGGGTCCGGCTGTGGCTGCGTGCCCGCGGAAGCCGGCAGCAGCAGGGAGGGTGTGCGAGGGCGCGTCCGTGCCGCTGCTTCGCCAGTAACCGCGTGTCACGGCTTGTAACCCGCGGCAGGGCCGCTGCTCGGGGACGCGCAAGCGCTGGCACACGGCTCCAGGGGGGGACGCCGGAGGCCGCGGGCGGAGCGCCTCGCGTTCCAGTAAGTAACGACACCAGGTGCTCTGTGTTGTGGTGGCACAGATCGTTTCCTCGCCGTAGGAGGCCGCGTGTCTGTGGTGACTGCCATGCCATCCAAGCATGTTTCTCTGTGGAGCGCGAGGGAGGGAGGAAGAGCCTTTCCCCCAGAGACTGCTGTAGGCTGTGCTCCTCCCGCCCTGCAGGCTCCTGGTGCTGGCAGGGGGCCTCGAAGGAGCCTTGGACTGGCGCTTGCATCCTGTCCGTCCCTGCTGCATGCTGGAATGCGACCTATGGAGTGAGTATGGTGCCGGGGTGGAGGCGAGCTGCTAACAACTTTCTTCTCTTTGCCTTTAGCCCCGATGAAGAATCTTCACAGAAGTTCATTCCCTTTGTCGGGGTGAGTGTTATCGTGGCGATGCTGTCTTAAGCAAGCTGGAATTTGTTCTCAGGTGTTAACCTAAGCCTGCCAGGTTTCTGGAGTTGAGCAGAAGCCATTGGGTGCTCTAAGGCAGACGATCAGCATGACAATCTGTCCTGATGGTTGGATGCAGCTACCTGATATTTAAGCAAACCTCTAAGACACCTCAACAAACTAGAGGGTGTGTTTTACTTCTCAGACAGGAATACCATGTGTCCCTGGAAACCTGATCAGAGGGATGCTGTGCCTAGCATTGCCCTGGTTGCTTGTTTTGGCCAAATTTGCTATTCCCATGTCATTTCTCTGCATGCTTGTCACTGATGGTCTCCCATCCTCTTAGCATCCCATCTGTTCCTGGGAAGTAAAGAGTACAACCTGGCAGGAAGGCGATTTATACCACTGTTACTTATTTGGGATAGTCCCTCGTTTTTCCTCCTGCCCTTAAGTGTTCCCATCTGAGGTGCAGAGTGTCTGGACAGGGCCGTGTCTGTTCTTCTGTCACTGTATTTTGTGCACTGTGTGCTCTTTACCTTTTCTAGCTTCCTTCCCCTTATTTGATCACACTCTTCAATTCATTAAGTTTTAGGCGTAAAGTCATTGAGCTGCAGCCAGAAGAAATCCCTTGGCCGCTCTTCAGCTCTGGGATGTCCTCTTCCCAGTTCCTGCTGCTGTCTTGCCCGCTGGCCTTGCTGTGCCTGCTCGGTGTGATGCTGACAGGTTCCCTCTGTGCCCCCTCTGTGCCCCCGTGGTGCGTCAGAGCTCCTCTGAAATCCCAAGGCATTTAAAGAGCTTAGTCTCTCTTGCCCTCAGGCTGACCCTGCTTTCACTCTGGTGTCTCCTCATAGTGAGAGTGTCTCTCTGCAGTATTCCTGAGGTGACAATCTGCTTTTGTTTGCGGATGGAGAGATGCCTTCTGCAAAGGTGGAGAGACTCATCTCCCCAGTTTGTGCCCTGCTGATGAGCTTTGCTGGGAACAACTTGTATCTCCCATGAACTGCAATTTCTAGTGATGGACTGTTCTTACAAAACAGCTGTTTCACCTTTCCCAGTAACATGGAAAGCCTGCAGGACTTGGAATATCCCAGACTGTTGGTGGGCTCTGCAAGCTATTTTTCAGGACTGATTTAGTCCTGTATTTTGTGCAAGCAAATGGGGCTCAGAGTGTTTATCTAGTTTCTCTAAAATGATTGTCGTCCTGACATTAGCACTGCTTTTCCAGTCTGGATTTGATTATCTGAAAGTGGTGGAATTGCTTTGTTGGGTACATACCATTGCCAACCCCCCAAAAAACTTGCCTTGAAAGCACAGACTGACTTCCTGTGTCACTGGAGATGAGGGTCAAATCAGTCTGCTTGCTCCTGATTCTGGAGCATTCCTGACACAGTTGTGGAACACACCTGGAAAGAGTGAAAGGCCAGTTGCAGGTGTCTCACAAAGTCTGAGGCTGGACATGAGCACTGAGGCTCTTCCATTCAGCTGCAGCCTGCTCAGAGCTGTTGGACAAGGAAGAGAGGGAGCCAGTGACTTCTGGGTTTGCAACCTGATGCTGGCTGCACTCTTGGCTTTTGGGTGCAAAACCTGGTGTCCTGCAGCTGGACTGTGCAGTCTCTGACCCAGAAATGGTCAGGGCAGTGCCGTGCTGCTCAGCTGGGCTCACAGTGATGGGAGTGGAGCCTCACAAAGGGCCAGGCAGGCACAAAAGCCAGGCTCAGGCTGCCTTGGGCTGACAGCCAGTTGCCAGGAGAGTTAACAGGATGTGCCTCTTCCTGGAGGGACAGGGGCTGGCTGCTTTCCTGGATGGAGGCCTGCTGGAACTGCAGTGTTCTCATGCACCTCCCCGAGTGGAGGGAAGGGAAAGTGTTTAACCTTGTGTTCCTCCCATGTGTCTGAACTTGAGCATCTTCAGTCAGCCAGCAAGGAGGGAAAGCCAGAAGAGATTTCCTGCCTGGCTTGCAGACCAGGGTGGCTGCAGGCAGTTTTCTGTGTTGCTTGTCCCTCCCCTAACCCTGCTCCCCTTGTTCACAGCCAGTGACACTTTGTGGAACATTCTCTTGGTGTTTAACACATAAAGCACAAATGGCTGCTGCACTCCAGAGCCTAACTTGTTGCCTTTTGGGTGGAGACTGGCCAAACTGAGCTGCAGCCTCCTTCTCCCAAGCCAGTGAGCCCCCAGGAAGCCTGTGTACACACTGCTGAGTTCATGGTGGCTTTTTCAAGACCGGATCTAAATGAGAATCCACCAGAGAGCCTGACAACTCTCCAAGATCTACTGTTGAGCATAGCCCTCCAAATTCTTCTAAGAATTAACTTTTTTTTTTTTTTTTTGGACTGTGTATTACAGAAACGTGCTCCCTAGAGATGTGGTCCAGACATGGTCATGTCTGAACTTAATGACCTTCTGTTTTCAAACCACACAGCCTGTGTGACATCGTTGCTCATTCTAAAGCAGTTTTTATTGACCCAAGCTCCCTTGGCAGCTCTTTCCCATTTGTCAGCATTTGTGTAGGGTAGGCATTAGCCCTGGAGACAAGTTTCTTAAGGACCTTAAAAAGGCTCTCTTCTCTGCAGTGTTAAGAGTGGTGATCCCTGTGTACCATAGCAGATTATCACTGCAGAAGGTCTCTGTTTTTATATCACCAAGGGCCAGTTTATCTTTCTAGGCACAGTGTGTTCTTGGGAGTTTGTTTGCAGCATGTTCTGTTCCACAAGCTATTGCCAGTGACATTTATCATTAATCTTGATGTACCAGCTGGTGACTGGCCACACACGTTTGTGCCCTTATTGCAGTGTGGTCTGGATCGTTCTGACCTGTCCATGTGGTGGTTTGTCCCTGTCTGCCTCCAGAGGCTTTGGTAGGGGCTTTATCTTCTTTGTTGGACGCTTCCCCTGTTTAGAGAATAGATAACTCTGATCAGAAACTGTACTTTGTTGCTTCTGTGGTTTCCTAACAAATCCCAGCTATGCTGCACCCTGGAAGTGGCTGCTCCTGAGCAGTGGAAGCAGCATGTCTGTAATTTGCAGGTGCATCAAAGCAGTGCTGAAGGGATATTTCTGACCTTTCTCCACCCTGTAGTTGGCACAGCTTGGAGCTGGTGGGCTGTGCAGAGCTGGGCAGGTCTGTGACAGCTCTGCAGGGTCTGTGCTGTCCTTTGTGTGGGTCAGGTAAGGGCTGTGAGCTGGCACTGCCAGGACATTGCCAGGACCTGCCTGGCTCTTAGAGGACTCCTTAGTTCCTCTGACTGCAGGGACAGTGCCATGGAGAGTGCAGAGATGAGCTCAGTGCTGGGGTTTGGGTTCCTGAAGTTCAGGGGGCTCTTGTTTGATAGAGCTCTTCTGTTTTGCCTCTTTAGGTGGTGAAGGTTGGAATAGTGGAACAATCTTCTGCAACATCAGGTAAGGAACACCCTGTGTGTGCTTTCTGTGTCCTGCAGCAGCAGGAGCCTCACCTCACAGGCTGAGCAGACTCATTCATTGCTGATGCCTTGGAGCTGGGAGGTGGAGTTGGATTTTATTGGCTCCCAGTGGTTTGTCTGCAGAAAGAGAGCCCTCTCTCCTGGGAGAGGCCCTTTTTTCTTTGTTACTTTGCATGGAGCTTCAAGCCAGCTGAAATTCCCACACCTACATCCAAGGAAGCTGCACCCACGTTTGTGGAAACGCCACTAATGTTGTCAGTGGGGTGGATTCACTGTTACACTTGTTTGAGGTTCCTGCTTCAGCCTGAGGAGGCAGTTCATGAGAAGTTCATGCTGTCTCCCTGCAGTGGGCTCAGTTGCTGAATGAAATTGATCTCAGTGCCTGGGAACTTCAGGGTGGGCAAAATTTTAGACCCATTTATTTTTTATTGGAGGAGTGCAAAGCTGATATGCAGAAGGATACTGTCTGCTTACATACACAGACATGGAGTGGTGATGTTTTGTCAATGTGAACTTGCTTTTTTTCTCCTTCATATGCACAGGAATATTGTTTTCCTTGTGTTGGGATTGTTTCTTGCTTTGCTTCACTGTCAAACCCAGATTCTTGTGGCCTGGGTGACACACAGGTTTGTGCATGGAGGCAGCCCTTCTGTGGGTCACTCCTTGCTGCCGCAGTGCTCCCACCATCCCAAAGGGCCAGCAGGAAGGGGATGAAAGCTTGGTTGTGGAGGGTGGAGGCAGATGGAATGAGGAGTTCCCTGTGGTCACCCAGAGGTGCTGGATTCCAAGAGTGGTGCTGCCCTGCAGTGGTTGCAGGGGGAGATTCCCTATAGGAAGGAGATCAGGGCTGGGCTGTGTGCAGGAGGCTCAAAATCAGCTGGGAGCAAACCCTAGGAGAGCAGATGCCAAAGGAGGAGCCTCGAGGAGTGTCAGTGTCTGTGCCTGTCTCGGACCCAGACGTTCAGAGCCCCTCGGAAGCGAGGAGCCCGTCAACTGATGGGCCAGCTGACCTCAGGATTGAATCTGAACAAAAGCTGTGCAGCAGGAGCGTGGACAAGGAGATTGAGCTTTATCCCAGTGTTCTGTGCTGTGAGACAAACCCAGACAAACAGTTTGACTTCCTTTTTTTAAGGTGACTCTGATGACGCAGCTCCCTCAAGTTCCGTAGTCCTTTCTTCCACTCCGCCTTCCGTGTCTCCTGCTGTGAAAGAAGCCTCCCCCACGCCCCCTTCCTCACCATCTGTTACAGGCAGCTTCTCCCCAAGGTAAGCCATGTTTTGCCTCCTTACAGCTCCATTGGCTGGTTTATCTGGCATACACGTGGCAGAGAACTCCAGAGGAAAACCCATAGTTCTTCCTCCATTCCCTTGGAATTGTCACCGTTTCCCTTCCCTTTTGCCTCTGGAGTGACTGTGTCCTTGCTGAGGCTGCCAAGGGGCTGGGGAGGGCAGGGGGGATTTTGCACTTAGTGGGAAGGCTGCATGTCTCAAGGGCAGGATTCTCTTGGGAAGATATGTATTCAAAAAAGTACTGACTCTAAGTACACGTGGGTGCCAGGCTAATCCCTCGTGCTTGTTGTGTTTGTAATGGCAAGTGAGTGGAAGGACAGAGTGACTTTTGAAGGAGCTGATGACTTTCTCTCTGAGGGTAATGCTGGCAGTTGCAAGGTAGAACTGCAGCTCCCATTCATGTGTGTGCCTGAAAGCATATCTGAACAGCAAGGGGGCTGCACCTACAGGTAATACTAAGCCCTGGTTTAGCTGAAATTTTTGGGGGTGAAGGGAGGAAACCCTTAGAAAGCTGCCAGTAAGACTTGCCCTGGCCAGGACTCTTCATTTTGTTGTTGCACAAAACATTGGTGTAGCTAACTTTGTGTGCAGCTCTAGTACTCAGAGGCAGTTGGGTAAGTGCCCCTTGATTTTGGTAACTCCCCTGAGCCTCTAAGGGAACATAGCAGCAGTCTTGTGAGAAGGGGAAACTAGAAGCATTTGGACTCTGTAGTTTAGGAGAGCAGAGGAAAGCAATAAGCCACTCGAGGTGTGCAAAGTCAGGGGGGTTTGGGTTTGTAGAGGGTGGCAGAGCACTGGGACAGGTGCCCTGGGAGGTTGTGGAGTCTCCCTCTCTGGAGACGTCCCAAACCCACCTGGATGCATCCCTGCATCACCTGCTCCAGGTGACCCTGCCTTGGCAGGGGGTTGGACTGGCTCACCTCTAGAGGTCTCTTCCAACACCAGCAGTTCTAGGGTTCTCTGGAGCTGTGGCATGAAAGCTGCAGGCACACAGTGACACTGCAAGAGCTCAGTTAAAAGGGAGAGAGGAAGGGACCACATCTGCCCCTGCTGCTTCTGTGGCAGCAGCATCAGCAGGTCAAAGAGGGGTCAGACAGATTCATGGACAGCAGATCCATTAATGGCTACTGAAGGATGTTTCAGGGACCTCCCCTCTAGCATCCCCAGTCCTGTGATTGTCAGGCTGTGGCATGCCCTGAGGCTGAGCTTATGTGCTCTCCCAAAGTAGCATCCCCTGCTGTCCCTGTTGGAGACAGGGTGGAGACCTTTCACCCCACCCAGGGTGCCCTGCAGTGACCTTTAACCTCTGACTTCTTGAAGTGGCATAAGAGTTCCCTTTTAACAGGAGGCAGTGGAGGTGTGAAAGTGCCAGTTTAGGTGCCCAGCACTGGAAGGTGTTAGTGCCTGTTCACCTGTGCCAGGGGCCCAGTTCCCCAGGCCCCTCCTGGTGTGTGCCTGTGGTTGGATGGCAGGAGAGCCCTGTGTGCCCCAGCAGCAGCTGGCTGGCAGTGCAGAGAGGGGGGGCTGGGCAGGCTCCGGGGAGCAGAGCTGAATTCTTGTGTGTGATCTTTGTGTATGGTTTTTCCAAAGGTGGAAGTGGTTTGGAAACTGGTGCCCCCAAGAGCGTAGGGTATTAAAGCTGTGAGCCATGGATGTGATAAATCTGAAACTGACACCCCAGCTCTAGGAATGTGGTTCTTTTTGGTTACATTCTGTGTGGCAAAATCACCAAAAAATGAGGAAGTGCAGGTTCAACATTGTTCCATCTCCCCTGCTCTGTAAGTGACAGCACAGGGGGTGGAGGGTGACCCAAACTGATTGATTAAGCTGTGTGTTTAACTGGGAAGGGAACATTGGGATGCTTTGTCTTTATGACTGAGTTGAGAAATGTGATGCAAAGGAGCCTTACAACTCAAAGCAGCATCTCCAAAGCATCATCCTTAAAGAGTCTCACTTCTGAATATTGCCCTGAGAACCAAAAACCTGGTCTTAGTCATCAAAGATGAACTCTGCTTTGCGGTCTGACTTTTAGCTGAATAAATGGCAAAGAAAAGGAGATTATTTGCTGAGAGGACTGTAAGGATGGGGCGTCCTTGTTTTACCTTGAGCTCCTTATTAGGCGGGTGCTGCAGAGGGATGCATATTTCATTCAAGATCACAGATTTATCTTCCTTAACAACTGCCATTTCTCAAACTGGGGACACAGACTGGTAGATAAATTTAGGTTTTTGTCTAGTACTTGTGTATTATTCAGCGCTGTGTAGGAATAAGTATAGGCTGTCACTTGTAGGTCTGCTGAATGGTGAAGCCCTGCTCCCCTCAGGGTTATCACTGAGAGGCAGGGGCAGGAAAGGGCTGGAGCTTCCCAAACTTCTCATCTTACTTTTGCTGGCTCAAGAAAGGGCTGGCAGCATGTTTTGGTGATGCACAGCTGCTACCACATGATGCACAGGAGTTTTCAACAACAGAGCATATCCTGAAATCTGCTGTTGTTTAGCAAATGTCACAGAGCTAACAGAACATTTTTTTTCCAACGGTGGAATTCCCCAGTAAGTGGCAAGGCTTGGGAATAGGCAATTGCAAGAAGTAAGTCAGGGAGACTGGGGAGCGAGTGCCTGATGTTCAGGGACCTGCCAAGTCTTTGTTCACCCCAGCTAAGAGTTGGTTTTGGCAGTGCTGTGCCTGGACAGAGTCACTCATCAGTGCTCAGGGGACAGCAGCAAGGTGCTTACAGCCTCTTTTCCCCACTCAAAGGTGAAGTAATCTGGGCCACCTTAGGAGCTGCCTTTGCTGCTGTGTCACAGAACTCAGCACTAAGGAAAGTGCTTGTGTGCTCCCTTTCCCACTGCTCGGCCTTGTGACTGCAGCAGGTGAGCTTGTCTGGGCTCACTGAGGTTCTGTGCAGTGGGACCCAGGCTGCATCTCTCAGGGGTGACTTCTTGGGCTTCTATAATTGCTGAGTCTCACTATGAAATGTCACTGCCTGATTGCCCAAAGAGCCAGCTGTTTATCCTCTGAGCAGCAATGCAGCCACTCCGACAAAACCCTGCTGAGAGGCACACAGGAATTACCCCCTCCTCTTGTTTCCCAGCCAGGGCCTCGGTGCCGAGTTGATGGGCCTGCAGGTGGATTACTGGATTGCAGCTCCACCCGTGGACAGGAAGAGAGACCCAGAGAAGAAGGACCCCTCCACCACCAAAAACACACTGAAATGCACTTTCCGGTCCCTGCAGGTCAGCAGGTTACCTGCCAGCGGCGAGATCGCCACCACGCCAACCATGTCCATGACTGTTGTGACAAAAGAAAAGAACAAGAAAGGTGAGGTGTCCTTTTGTCCCTGTCTGCTGCTCCAGAGCTGCCTGACTTGTCAGTGCTGGGTTACAGCACCTCAGTCCTATCTTTATCCCCAAAATCCTGATCAGTTGGTGAGGGGTGACTGTGTGAAGTGATAGGGTTTGAAAGGGAGGTTCCTCTGCATGGGGTGAAAAGGGGATGTGTTCACCCTGATGGCTGAAGCCCAAAAGGGCAAAGGTGGGGACGGGACAAGGACATGCAGAAGGCCATGCCTGGACAATTTCCCTGTGTTCCTTGGGAGCCTGCTAGTGCTGTGTTGGGATATTGGATTAGATAAGAGGCAGTTTGTGCCCCAGCCACCAGTGAGGGTAAATGAGCCCCTCCTTTCTGACAGTGTGCTGAAAACTTGGGATAGCTTTACTTTCTGGAATGATATCCCCATCCTATGAGCCTTTAGCTCAAAAGAGCCACAGAGAATGAAAGAGGTGTGTAAGGGAAAACAAAAGCCCAGCAAGTGTCACAGATCCCTGTGAGGTGACAAAACAGGAGTACCCCCTGAACTGGAGTCTGGGGCCTCCCACCCTCCTCCTGCACCCATCACCCCACAAGAGCCAGTGAGGGGATTCAGAACCTGGAGCAAAGTCCTGGGAGGAGCAGCTGAACTGGGGGTGTTCAGCCTAGAGAAAAGGAGGCTCAGGGTGACCTTGTCACTCCCTACCACTACCTGAAAGGAGATTGGAGCAAGGTGGGAGTCAGTCTCTTCTCCCAGGTAATGAGAGACAGGGCATGAGGAGGTAGCCTCAAGGTTTGCCAGGGAGAGATTTAGATTAGCTATTAGGAAAAATTTCTTCACCAAAAGGGTTGTGAAGCCCTACAAGGGGCTGCCCAGGGCAGTGGCGAAGCCACCATCCCTCCGTGCTTGGAGGTATTTAAAAGATGTATAGATGTGGCACTTGGGGACATGGTTTAGGGATGCAGTTGGAAGTGTTAGATTAGCAGTTCAATGACCCGGAGATCTTTTCCAACCTCAGCAATTCCATGATTTTATAATTCTTATGCTTTTGCACAGAATGCTTTGTGGGTCAAAAGAAAGTAGAAGATAAATACTCTCCTGCTCTTAAACTCGTGTCTTTGCTTTCTCAAAACAGACTAAAAAAATGGCATTTTGAATGTTGTCACTGATTTTATATTTGCTCCTGGCCTTGGCAATGTGAAACATTTTAGAAATTGAGAACAGCTCTGAAACAAATTATTTTCAAGGAAGCACGAGGCAGTTCTGCATTTACATTTTGCCTGCCAGTAGCTGTCCTTCACAACATCCTCTGCCTGTGGGCCTGGGAGTCACTCCTGGTGGACTCTGGGAGAAAGCTGGCAGAGCCTCCTGGGCTGCAGGACATGGGTGCACAGCCCTGCAGCCAGCTCACTGCCAGGCCAGCACAGCTGTGGCCCTGCTGGTGCTGGAGCTGCCAGCCCTGGTGACACCCTTTGTAAGTGTTGTGCTGTTGGGAGAGGCAATCCTGAGACACTCCAGACGTTCTTCCCTGGGGATGACCCAGCCTGCAGCAGAGGTGTTCAACACCACCAGCTTTTGTGAAACCAGTTTGTACATCTTTGTTCATGCATTTGGACAGTTCCTGGGGAGCTGGACCTTTTTTTACTTCTCCTTATGCCTTCCCTACCCACCAGCTGCCCCCATTTTGTAATCCCTCCTGCTGTCCAGGTGTCTGTGCAGCCCAGGCTTTGCTGGGCCACAGTCAGTGCAGCAGGCCTGGCACTACAGATGCAGTGCTGCAGATGCAGCACTGTGTTCCCTGCATGGTGTCCCAACAGAGGAAGGTGCCCTTTGGGGTCAGGATTATGAGCTGGGAAGTCTTCACAAAGAGACATTTAGGAATAAGATGCTCATGTGCATCAGTGATGGTGCTCAGCACTGACAGACTCCTGCCAAAAAGGGAGGATCTTAGGAGTAAGAATTTTCAGACAGGAATGTGTAAATGCAAAAGCTCAAACAAGAATCAGTTCAGCTCCTGTGAATGGCACAGATTGACCTTGTGCTGGTTTGCTTTTCTTCCAGTGATGTTTTTGCCCAAGAAAACAAAGGACAAGGAGGTTGAGTCAAAGAGCCAGTGTATTGAAGGAATCAGCAGGCTGATTTGCACAGCGAAACATCAGCAGAACATGCTGCGTGGTGAGTGCAGCACTTGCATCCCTTTGGGTGCTGGGGCAAGGCTCACATGCTGTGATTGTCCTCCAGGCAAAGGGCTGAGCTGGTGTCCTGCCCTGTGCCCTGGAGCCAGCATGGTGGGGATATTCCTGGGGAACGGGCTTCGGTGTGTCCAGCACGGGGGAAGGCTTTAATAGGTCTGGGATGTGGGAAAACCCTCCTTTAGCTAGCTCTGAGTCAATGCTCTGGCTGAAGACAGGGGTTGGACAGGGCTCCATTCCCCTCTCTGTCATCCCCTGCTTCTCTTGCGCATCTGGTGCAAGTGTTGGTTGGTGGCAGGATGACATTGTGGCTGCTCCTCTGGGCAGGACACTGGCACATGCTCATGCCACAGCAGGAGCCATATATGCATCTTATAGACAGACCTGGAGTGTCTGTCAGTGGAGCTGGGCATCCAGGAGCAAAAACACCCTTGTAGCCTGTTCAGTTAGTAATCCCCAACAGAGAGACCTGCTTGGGTCACCTCTTTCATCTTGGCCTGATCCCTGTGAGGCTGGCAGGCATGAGGGACACAGGACATGTGTCACCTCTTTGGGAGACATGGATGTCCTGGTGAGAGTGCCAGTGAGGAGAGACTGATGTCCATCTCTGCAAGAGTGCATTTGCCCAAAAAAGAAAATGAGGTGTGCTCAGGAAATCTGAGAAGCCGGATCAGGTGACACTGAAGTCAGCAGTGTGGGGTGTGGAGTGTCAGTGAGTGATGCTGGAACAACAACTTGAGCTGTTCTCCCCAGACCTGGTGTGCTCCTCAGCCTTTCTCCCTGTGAGTGCAGCTGAGTGGGGCAGAGCAGCTGAGCATGGCCAGGCCTCCCTCTGCTGACTGCAGGGGAATTCTGGCAGAGCTGCCTCAGGCTGGCCACTTCCCCTCAGCGTTTTCTAACTCTGCTCTCTTTTTACCCTCCCCTGCAGTCCTGATCGATGGGGTGGAGTGGAACGATGTCAAGTTCTTTCAGCTGGCAGCACAGTGGTCCTCTCATGTCAAGCACTTTCCCATCTGCATATTTGGACACTCCAAATCTAACTTCTAGCTGTGCTCGGCGCAGGGACCTTCCGCCCATCCCGAGGACTGCACACCAGGAGCCAGGACCTGCGTGCCAACTCTGACTCGCGTCTCTCTGCCCTCTCCTGCAGAATTAATTACAGATGTGCTTGGATTACTTTTGAATTACTTTTTTCTATTAACTCTTAAGTTTACTACAGAGGAAGGAAACCCCTTTAAACAAAGGCAAAAAAAAAACCAAAACCAACCAACAAACCAGTCTTAAATATAGATGTGCTGACAACGTGAAGTCGTGGGGGAGTTGGCAGGAGCAGGCAACCTGCCCAAGAACACCTACCACTTAGGAGCAGATAGCTGAGTAACTGCACTGCTTATTAACCTGAGACCTCATTGGTGTGAGTGGGCTGGGGGAGCCCTGGATCAGCTCAAACAGATTTCGCAGAAGATCACGTGTGTTACGGTGCGTTTGGCCCCCGCTCTGTATTTCTAGGAGAAAAGGATGGCCAGTCTTTCTTCCTGCTGCCAAAGGATGAGAGTCTGGAGGGAGTTCAACTGTCCGGTGTGGAAAACAAAGCCACTTGCAGAGTTAGGGAGGTCTGGAGAGGAGATCCCCTTTGGAGCACGGAGCCTGCCACGGGCACAGGCAGGTGTTGGTGCTGAAGCGATGCCTGAGGAGGGTTGGGCAGGAACAGGAATTAGGGAAACACTAAGTAAGGAAACTCCCGTGTGCCAGGTCTTTGACAATGACCAAACCTGGCCACTCTCTGTGTTCTCCAGCTGGCTGTGCTGCTGAGGGGCACCACGTCAGTGGGGTCGCTGCTATTTACATACTCACACCGATTATTTACCTGTCAATAAAACCTCGTCCAGCCTCGAAAGGGAAAGGATTTTTTTCAACAGCTGCAGATTTTTTTAATGCTTTCTAAAAAAAATAAAATAAAATAAAAACAAAAAGTAACAGGAAAAATATTAATTTGCCAAAAAAAACCCCCACAAACCCGGGAAGATGAGCCGTTGTCTGTGGAGTGATGCATCACTGTAGTGGCTGGACTGGGAGCCAGCCAGGCACTCAGCGTGTCCAGCTGCCTTCCTGCCCATGTGTCACTGCACACCTGAGGTGGCACGGGCTGCTCTGTCAGGTGCTGGGTGGGATATCGGGAGCACGGTGTTGTTGCCATGTGGAAGAAGAGACATCTCTGGCATTTCAGGGTAAGGGACTGAAATTTCTGATGGGCCCTTTTGGGTCCCCCCTTGTGGGCAGGCCAGGCTCTGTGAGCATTTCCAGAAGGCACTTTCTGAGGGCAGTGATGCTTTTCAGCTGTTTTCTTTTTTTTTTTTTTATTTCCCTGATCCCTTACCCTTGGGTTACCCAAGGCTTGGGGAACCCACTTTGCGCTGCACGGCAGGTCCTGCTCTGCGTGGGGACCAGCCGGGTCCCCAGGGCAGGTGCTGGTGGTGTGCTCTGCTGGCAGGGACGTTCTGAGGTGAGAGCTGCATCTTGTGCCTGTCACAGCTTGGGCTGCTTCACCAGCTGATGTCATGAAACCCTTTTCCAGCACAAGGGCACCCTGCATGGCCAGGGACTGGGTATTCCCTTCAAACCACACGGGTAGGAGGACACTGTCCCCAGCCTGGTGGCACGCTGCTGGGCAGGACACACGTCTAGCTGCAATTCTTTGTTCTTCCTGCCTGCCTTGGGCTGGCTCCTGGCTGTGGCAGAAGCTGGGCTCTAGGGGGGTGTTGTTGTGTCCCTCAGCTGATGTTTTTGGGTGACCTGAGCTGATGCTCTGGGGCTGTACAGCGTTGCCTAGCAGCAGCAGCGTGGGAGAGGGTGTATGAGCGCATCACATCTTCATTGAGGCTGTTGCATCAAAAAAAAAGGCTTTGTAAAGGAGATTAGTCAGTGTGTGATTTCCCCCTCGAATCTCACGCTGGTGTGGCAAGGGTGATTGGGCTGGGTTCCAGCCTGGGGCAGCCTGGGCAGCTCTGGTGGTGCTGCTGCTGCAGAGGTGGGTTGGACTGATCGACTGCAATAACTTTGTTTACTGGGGGGTGAGGGGAGAACCATCACTGTGCTCCTCTTTGTATTTCAACCTACTGTAAAGAAAAAATGTGGTAGCTAGGACAGGGTTTCCAGAGTCCTGCCTATCAAATGTGTGTTGCCCTGCTGTACTCTCTCTGTGTGTGTGTGTGTGTAGGTGTGAGAGGAACACTTCTGCTCGTTGCATTTCATGTTGGTTTGTGTTTTGTTCTAACTTTATATAAGCAATTCATCGGGAGACTCTCTGTGCACCTGAGGGCTTGATTTCCCCTGTGTGGAAAGCTGTTGTTGCTCTGCACAGCGTCTTCCATGCAAGAAAACATCCCAACTCCTCGGCCTTGTTATCCCAAAGGGAGTCCAGCAGAGGCAGGCTGGGTCTGCCTGTGGGCAGCTGTGTGCCATGGGGTGGCTGTGGTGTTTCCTGGCCCTGGAGGCAAGGGCTGGCATGCAGATTTGGTGGCACAGCTCTGATCAGGTTGTTGTGCCTCTGTTTTTTCTCCTGTGGAGCCACTTTGCGCAGATGTTTCTTTCCCTGTCTGGAGTAGAAACAGGTTTCTGTCTCTTAAGAAAAATGAGTATCAAAGCACGTGGCTCAGACTGCTTTGGGAAGGAACTTTAGGTCTGGTCCCATGAATGACTGATCTCAGGTTTCCCAACTTCCCCACAGTTTCTGGGGAAGATTCTTGCCAGGAGTGAGCTCCACTGACTTGAAGGATCACCAGTGTGGGATGAGGAAAAGTTTCTGGGGCAGCAGAGGGCCTGTGCCTGCAGAGCTGTGCCAGCCCGTGGGGTTGGTGGCCGTGGCCATGTCAGCGAGTGCAGAAGGATGGCTTAGAGCAGAGACAACACTGCTCTGTGTTCAGCTCTGGAGAGTTTGGGCAGGGAAGGTACATTTCAAATGAAGAAACTCAGGGGGGCTATCTCCCTCATGCTTGCTTTGGAGCTGTGTGGTCTGACAGCAGAGGCAGGGCCTGGGGTGGGCAGCACCTGAGTGGATCCCCAGCCAGGAGGTGCTTTGAAGGTGGTGTCTCCTCTGGTGTGTCCCTTTCTCTGTGTCCCAGAGCTCACCCCAGCCCCCGCAGGGCTGGTCTCTCCTGCCCCTCTGGCTGTGGCTTCTCAGAGCTCTGGTTTCTTTCCCAGCTGCTGTGGGCAAGGCCCCCGGCTGGCTCGGGGGTGAGCTCTGGGAGCGGCTGGCTCCGCGCTGAGCTGACCTAGTTCAGCAGCTCCGGAGAGCAGATGAAAGATGGAAGGGGTTTGTGGCATCGTGTTGCACCCTGAGTGCTTCCCCGTCCTCTGGCTTGAGTTTCCTGGAGACAAAGGCTGGGCTTCAGCCCTGCCAGCGCTCAGGCAGGGCTGGCTCTGCTGTGTCAGGGACATCTCGTGTGGCTGTTCCAGCTCCGTGCTGCAGTTCCCATCCAGTTCAATGGACACTTCTCGTCGCAGCGGTGACTGCAGAGCCCTCCTGAATTACACATGAGTTGGGGACAGCCATGGGTCTCTTTGGCCGTGTTTTGCTGCTTTAGTTAAAACACAAGATAAAGCTCGTGGCTTTATCCTGCAGAGAGGGCAGGAGTAGGTGACTGGCAGGTTTCTGGGGCTGAGGAGATGTGCCTGTTTGCTTTCCATCATCACACTCAGCCAGGAACCACACTGCCCTGTGCTTAACCTGTGAGTGCAGCAAAGGCCCTGGCACATTTCTCACCAGCAGCGTGTGCTGGCAGGAGCACTGGAGAGCCAGGGCAGAGGATGTTGCACCTGGAGTCTCCAAATTTAAGAGGGAAATCATGTCAAGAGGCAGCAGAACCAGTGGTCTTTTCCCGCTACCTGGTGTGCTAAGGGATTGGGAAGCTGGGATTAGGACAGTGGGGCCATGCAGCATGCAAGTAAAGGGCTTGGGGCTCTGGAGATTTCTGGAAGTTAGGTTGGATGGGTCCCCTTCATCCGGGGGGGGTGGTCTTGATTTCAGCAGATATTTGAGTAGTGGCATTCTAATGTAACATGCCCTCTAGGCTTAACCTGGCAGGAGAAGGCCAGAAATGAGCAGCAGCATGTCCTGGAGATTTCCTGGAGCCTCTTCAATGGTATTCTCATGGGAGATGTTCCTGGCAGGGCTGGCTCCTGCAGGAAGGATCACTCTGGTGCTTTGGGACATACTGGGGCAGAAGGGGACGTGCCAACTTGTAAAGCAGCAGGTCGCTGGTTTCCTTAAGGAAGAGCGCTGTTCTGGGGCCACATCCAGTCAGCTGCTGGCTGCAGCCTTGGCTGGACAGTGGCCGGAGCGCGGCCTGCCCGGCTGCGGACGTGCCCCAGCCGTGGGGAAGCGCCTGAATCCTGGGGCTGCGTGCCACCAGGCTTGTCCAGACCGCGGCATGAGAGGGGACGTTACCACTTTGTAGATTCCCGAGCTGTCCATCTGTTTCATTGTTGTATTGTTTGGGTTCTAGGGTTGTTTTTTATGAAGACAGATTAAATGTAAATAGCCTTTTTTTTGGAACAAACTGCAACGTGCTCGACCTCGTCAACTATTTTATGGTACTAATGCAACACTAATAAAACTGGACATGAAAGCACACACCCGTCCCCTGAGTTGTCTCTCAGCAGGGGCTGCTCTGGCATGCCCGGGGCAGTTGTTTGCAGGAGGAAACAGCAGCATGGCTTTCTGCCGTGGGGGTTCTCTTCTGTTATTTATCCAGCTGCCACTTCCAGGGCAGAGCTGGTGGATTGGCACATCCTTGCCAGCACCGAGCTCTCCTGTAGTTTTTGCAGCCCTGCTGCTCTCCCGGACGCCTCCTTTCCCAGAAGGATCTGTTCACCTCCTGCAGCTCTCCTGGATGTGACAGCCCTCTCCAGCGCTCAGTCGTCACCTCTGCACAGCAGGGAAGGACCAGGCTGGTGCCTGTTTCTGATCTGGGGGCTGCGTTGGATGGACACAGTGGTGTTGGAGTACCAAGGGGGGCATCTCAGGGGGGAAGACTGAGGCTGTGGGAGCCTGAAGTTGTGTGTGCTCCTGGGAGGACTGTGGGACAGGGATGTGTGGGATTCCAGAACCTGGGCTTGGTGCTGGGGAGTCAGAAGGTGAAGAGATGAGGGAAAGAGGAGAGCTGAGCTGTTTTGAGGAAGGAAAGTGAAGAAGAAATTGTGAGAAGTGGGCCCATGGCCACGGTCCTTACAATCCAGGATGCTGGAGGCAGAAATGGGAATGCTGTGCTGGAGCAGCCTGTATCCTCATGCTGTCCTGACCCAAGGGTGAGGGATGGAGGGGTGACAGCTGGTGGAGCAACGAGCTGGGGTGAAGGGAGCCCCTCAAAGCAAGCCAGGCTGCTCTCAAGCGACACAGATCTCAGTGATAGCTCACATGCTCTACGTGGCCTGGCCAGGTGCAGATGCATTTATGGCCCAAGCCCTTTGCTGGAAGAATCCACACATGGTGGCGCAGAGCCAGGCATTGGATCATTCCAGGTAGGAGGAATGGGGGTAGCTCAGGAGAGGGCAAGCTCAGTACTCTGGAGTACAGAAACAGCACCAAAAGCCATGAAGGGGGTCTGCCTGGTGGGGAAATGGGGGGGCGGGGGGGCACCATGGGAGAGCTGGGGGGGACAAACATGTGAAGGCTGTGTTCTGGCTGTGTATTTTCTGCACAGGTTCAGCTGAAAATGAACTTGCACTGATGGCCTGGCTGTATGAAAGTCACATCCTGAGTGTCACCTTTTAGAGCCCATGGAGGAATTAGTCTCAGCAAGTGAATATGGGTGTGAGTGGAGAGGACTGGGGTGGTGGGAAGGCTTGTGTGCTGCTGGGGGAGGCAGAGGACCAGCCCCACATCAGCAGGGAGAGCACCAAACCAAGAGCCCTTGACACACTCTCCTGTTACCTGGAAGAGAGGAGAAGGAAATGAGGGCTGGGTGGAACAAGA